GACCTTTTATACGGCGTTTTTCTCATTAATTATGTCTTTGGTGGCATCTTTATGAGTGCACGTGTTGCATCGTGGTATTCGTATTTGGGTTAGTTGATAAGAATGCAATCCTTTTGGGCTTTATTTAGAGATTTTATAAGTCTTAGTTTCGTTGTTCCGAGAATGTCGTCAGACTGATAAGTCGCAAAATAGATTGATGGTAATGCGTGAGATTTGGTTTGTTTTATGCTTCTTTTATCTTGCGTTGCGTTATTGTGTAACGCCTTTGGTAGTTAATTTGGTGTGATTTATTTGGTGTTGGTTCCTCTGTGCTTTTAATTGAATGTCGTTAGAATCACGTGCCAACGTTGTGGATTCTTCTTTGTCTTGTTATCATGTTAACGTCACATGCTGTCGCCATCTTGGAACTTTTGCTTGGGTGTGGTATTTAGCTAGGGTTGACTGAGTGAGCACTTCTCAATGGTTTGCGAATATGGGTTTTGCAATTATTTGGTGGTTGGAATACATACGCGATTGGACATGCGCAATTTGCTTGCTTTTTGCGAATATGCGAATTTAGTCTTTGAGTTAGAGAATTATGTTCTATGCGGTATTTTGCGGTTTCTCCTCAAGGGTGGACCGTCACACTCTTTTTGAAACTTTGACACTTCTTCAGTTGTCGTTAATATCAGAGTCATAAGACATTGAACGTTTAAAGTGGAATTGAGGTTAAAAAACACAGAAAACTTAGCAGAAACGGAGTGCGCGGTTCCTAGTCGAGCTGGCGGGATCTATCGCGCCATCTGAACAAAGGATGCAGGTTAGAATAGAATTCAAGGGCGCTCGAGATGTTGTAACACTGTCGATTTGGCCCAATAGTCGAGACCCAACTGCAGGTTTGCGACCGTAACGGCCTGCCGTACGGCATGTCCGTAATAGAGAGATGCTTTGCGGTAGGCTTGCGACAAATAGAATCACCGTCGCGGGGGAGAACAGCCACGACCAGTAGCCCTAACCTCCGCTTGTGCTAGAACATGGGTATTTTTGTTGTGCTCTTGTTGCCTGCCATAATTTTAAATTTGCCGCCACACGCCCGTAATAAGTTGTGTATTTGCATCCAGTTACTTTACAATAATTCCGATTTTTAATTGTTTTTGTTAAATTTGTGATATTCAAATATTTGTATTCAGAACGTTTAATTTGATTTCATTTAAATTTCATCCAAAGTTCAATAAATAGTATATTAACCACGATTGCAAAGCCACTTCTAGATCTCGCGCTTCAGAGCCCTCGACGCTGCGCGTCTCGGGTTCTAATTTGCCCTCGGTCTAGAATGCTTGGCTTTGCAACCTTGGCTAATAATATACTATTTGTGCCCCCCAAAAATTATCTGTTTTATTTAGCGGTACTTTTCCAACCTTGGAGTCCACCACTTGCATCTGAACGCATCCCGTCATTTTTCAAAAACACAACGTAGGGTTCCATTTTGTTAGACTATCATAGCCAAGGCCAAATTTGAATTTTTAAATTTTTCGCGGGCTTTCAATTTTTTTTCACATGTCAATTTAAGGCGGGATGTTTGGGTTATCACAAGGTATAAGCATGTATATAAAATATGGATGCATTGATAAAAAACAGCATAGACTTTTAACATATAATGTGCATATTTTAGATTTAATCGGTCAAATTTTGAGATGACGTCATCAACTTTTTTTGGGAAGGAATAAGCAGATAAATTTTGATTGACTATTTGCTATGCTTCCAAGATTTGGAAGATTTCAGAGCATTCGGTTTTGCGTTGTCGAAGTTAAATTGTAAAATGTCGTTACACAATTTTGGCTTTTTTGCAAAAATCTAGATGCCTATGGTAAAAAAACAACAACACGGATTCATAAACTACAAATGGAAAAGTATGCTACTTTATAAAATTTAAATAACATTTACTATTCCAAAATTAGGAGGATGTCATATTGTTGGTGGGAACGATCAGACAAATTTTGGTCAGCATTTTACGATCTACGCGATATTCCTAATATACTTACAAAATTTGACAACAATCGGTTAGACAGTAGACAAACAGACGGAAACGTGGAACTTATTTTTTCGTACTCTAGGTATATAGTACTGTTAGTGTTATATTGCACATTTCCAATATAATATATAATATAAAAGTGTCCTTGTTAAAATGTTGATGACGTTAGCACATTTTGTAATGGAAAAATTCACTTGAAACATATGTTTGGCATACTTCTTTATCTTCACTTTAAAAGCTCGTTCACATCCACTTAGCATACGTAACATAACATAAAATACAGTACAAAAAGTTGAAAAGCATTGAATCTTACGTATCCGTTCACATCGAGCAAAAACATAGAAGATATAACATGGCCTACAGTAAAGTTGACCGAACTTCAACTTTAGCGTATTCTTATGCCATGTTTCCTAGGCACAGCCAATCAGCGTTCGTTCATCCTACCTTCGACTGTACGGTGGTACACGGCGTATTTCTATTTCTAACCTAGATAGGTTCTAAACTCATTTTAATTCAGAAGAAGCAGAATGGATGACGGAATCAAGTATCAACGGATACAACACTATTATCTATTATAACTTCTAACCTCAAGTTCAACCACGGTTGACAGTTGTAAAATAAACAAGATACGAAAAGAGAAACGCGCATGTCAAAAACATAAACTTACGTTAATTTCAAAGCCATTGTGAACTGATAGGTTTGGTGGTATGCTTTCTTTGTTATGTCTTTTTGTCATGTAACGTTTGCTAAGTGGATATGAACGAGGTTTAACACTACACACGTATCTTTATTTTAATTTATAAAAAAATAAAATTCGCAAAAATAAAATTTTAGAATTATTAGTTCGCGAGTGTAAGCGAAGGATAGGTATATTGTAATCGAGTCCGTCGGCCGACTCTCTACTGTTACGTTTTCTCGACCTGTCATGGCCCCTAGAGAACGAAGAAGGTCTCTCTTTTCCGTCTGTCTGCCGTCACGGATTTTTATTAGACACATAAGCTCCGTACTGGGCCGATTGGTGTCAAATTGTGTATTTATATTAGGAATATCATGTAGATGATAAAACGCTAACCAAAATTTGTCTAATCATCCACACCAATAATGTGATGACGTCACTTCAAAATTGTACATGGTAAATGGGTTTTAAAGTGTTTAAAATAACATAGTCCTACATATGTAGTTTATGATTCCGCGTTGAGTTTTTACCCGAAACGTCCAGATTTTTGGAAAAAAAAAATTATAAAATAACATTTTGCAATTCTAATTTTGAATCTGCAAAACCGAATGCTTTGAAATCTTGCAGATGTTTTAAAGATATGATAAGCATAATACATTTTTATACAAAATATATTTACTTATCACCTCAAAAAAATTGATGACGTCAGCTTTAAATTTTGCCCAATATCCTACCTATCTAAGATGGAGAAAATATGATGACCCTGTACTTGTGATTTATCATTTCATTCATATTTTTTGGATTCGTTTATACAGGGTGACTCAAAAAAATTAATGAAGGCGTGAATTTATTTTATTGATTTAATCAGGAACATTGATATTTAATAATGTAATATGTATTTAATCAATGTCTGGAACTACAAAATCTACTGCTTTGAAATCTAGGAGATGTTTTAAAGACGTCATACGCATGGTAAATTTTTGATCAAAATGTATTTGCTCATCCCTCCTGAAAAATTGAGGACATACAGTAATGGATCATCGGGTAATTTAGTACTTTCATATTTTCTCGATATTTCAACTCCTAGACAAGGCCGTAGCTAGGGGAGGCTAGGGGATGCTGAGCCTCCCATAGATCTAGAAAAGTTATAATTAACCAAATGTGCATCACAACATCAAAAATCAAAATACAATGTAGTGTTTTATTCAATAAGCGGAAGTCAGAGCAATAAAAAAGTCTGGACCGTCCGCATTGTGATCTGGTTATTGCAATTCGTAGAAAACATCTTTTAGTTTAGCTTATGTTTCACTCTCACTCTCACGTCTACAGGTTGATAAGTATTATCGTTATTTCTCTTAAATTACGAGTACCATAAATAATTTTCAGTTCAGTCTTCAGTCGCACTTCTGTTATTATATACGACAGACGTGATTACATTGTTTGGTTAGTTTATTGATTATTATAAATCACTATTCAAGAATAACAATAATACAATACTTTTATTATTAGTAGGTATTACAATGCATTTATCCAAATTGATATATGCGTCCTCGTAAAAATGTGGGTGACATCAATACAAAATTTGTAATAGAAAAACTGACTTGTAATAATCAGTTACCACGTTTCTTTACCTTTACTCAAACATTAGATACATATTTTTATTTTAGCTTATAATGGTTGCCATAAAAAATAATAAAATTGGCAAAATCAAATTTTTTAATTTTTCGCAAAAGTTGTAATTTATGGGCGAAAGAAATTCTGTCGAAGTCTCGAAGTAATCTTCAACTAATTTTTTGAATCATTTTCAGTGGTGTGGAAATTTCTGTCTAAGTAACCGTGGACTAATTTTAATTCGGGTGGTGAACGAAGAAAGCATTATAATATTCGAGCTATACTTTCATGTTTTCTCGATGTTTTATGATCCCTAGTGTACAAAAAAGTAGGTGTCACGTCCGTCTGTCTGTGTCACTTTTTCTCAGACAGATAACCTCTGAAACTTATCATAAGCTTGATAAATCGTTAATTAAAATTTTTGACTGTTGTTATCTGTTTTAAATATAGGTACTACTACCTATTTTCCGCACTTGTGCAGACCACGCCGTGTTCGAATTTGCGCCCCCGTAGCGCATTTTATATTTTTTTCGAAGAAACGGGATTTGTTGGATTGTACTTCCAGGGTGAGGGAAGTTCTGTCGAAATGACCTTCGACCATTTTTTATTACCAGAAATTCAAGAAAAACATTCAACAAAAAATTTACAAATAAATATCAACATAAAAATAAAGCCTATTTACAAATAAGTCTGAATATTACATCATGTTGTTTTGCGGAATTTAGTTTTCTTGGGTGGATTTGTTCTCGGTGAAGTGCTTAAATTTACTTGTATAACTTCAATTTCATGTTGACTGGCATTATCTAATATGCTGAAATATCTGGTGGGCTTGTAGAACCTAGAAAAGAAAGTAACCGCATTAAAGTATGATTGCAATTCAGTGCTAATAACAGTTTAGCTATACAGCAAGCACTTACGTATTAAAATTGACACAATCCTCCAAAAAATCTGGGAGTTCACGTTTATGAACATTCCAAAGCCAAAAGCATGCTACCATTTCCAAAATGAAGCTTAAAAACAAAATCGAAAAAGTACCATAGAAAGCGGTCGGTTTATAATAAAATTGTGCAATAACTTCTAAGGCATGAGCTAAATGATATACACCCAAACATAATCCAAGACCAAGACTTCTTAATTCTGTTGGGAACATTCGGGGGATTATATTGTCAAGAGTCGTTAAAGATAAGAATTCTACAAAAGCTGCAGACAATGTAAGTGAAAGGAGTAACATACTTTCCTAAAAGTACAAAGTTAAAAAAAACAAAAACTAAAATGTAAAGATGTTTGTACATTTAGTATAGAATAAACGCCACACATGAGTAGTGTACTAACAAATATGCATTTTAAGAATTCAGAAATACCAATTATTATTCTGTGGGGAACAAAATGCATCAAAGTTATACATAAAACGCACCCTAGCCCCTGGCACACCGCGTTCAAATAACCAAAGACCTTATCTTTAGGAGCGTAGTGAAATAAAATACCATTCCATAATCCCATGCAGTAAGAAATGTAAACTAGAGCTAGATATGCATGTCTAGTTCCTACGGGTTTCCAAATTTCGCAAAAGGTGGGCCTCTGCGGCATGTGATTATCCTGAAATAAAATACTAAAAGATATGGTAATAAAGCAAACAGTCACCTGCAAATATGTACATTTAATATCTGTACCGGTCGGATTTTAATGCTGGAAGATATAGGACATCTATTAATCTCTGCAATTTCACGAAGTGTTTTTTCGCCTTTAGAATATGCTGTCATTAGAGGCATGTTGTTAGGAGATTCTTTGTAATACCTATAATCAATTTCTTAATGCAGGTTTTAACAAAAAGAAAACTCGATACAGCAAAGGAATTAAAACAATCAGAGGCAGAACAGAAACCGTTGCTAATATTCCTTGTACATTCTTGAAAGCGTTTTGTATTAATTGGGAAACAAGGGATCCCACTGGTCTGAAGGAAAAAACAACACCCATCGCAAATGTTCGCCATTTATTTCCGACCGCATCACACACTGTAAAAAAACCTCTTCAAGTTTTTTAAAATCTGTTTTATAGTTATTTTTACCTATTATACTAGGCAAACACAAAATGCTAGCTGAAAATACAGCTGCGAAGAACATAAAAAAGATCAAAATTTCCTCACTGGATACGCTAATTACCAACAGTCCCGTAAAACAATGCAGTGATACGAATAGTGCTGTTGTAACTTTAATTCCAAATTTAGAGGCACAACTACCAGTCAACATATAGCCTATTGCCAAACCTACCCGATAACAATTTCTTATCCAGGCTGCATATACCTCTCGTTCACAAACCAGATTCAACTACAGTACAATGTCAATAAACATGTACAACAATGCCAGTGCATTACCTTTTCAGTAAATGTAATCATAGTTTTATACTCCTTAAAAAATGTGAATTTTTCGCAAGTAGTTCCGTTTGCGTCTTCGCACTGACTACCGTTTCCATCAGCGCAAGTGAAATTTAGATGTAGTGGTACAGAATTCAAAACTGCGACTCTGTCTAAGGTACCTAGAAAAACTGCGACCATGGAAAAGGCAGTCACTGTTATTTGCCAACGGCCACAACTTCCAGCAAGACTGTTTAAAATTTCTTCGGGTGGTGAAGTCGACGATATTTTTACGTCAGGCTTAAAAAATTTCATTTCACTCGTCGTTAGGTTTTGCAATATATATCAGCAACACAAAACAGGATTCTTTTGTAAGGTGTAATTTGGTTTAAATGATATCCGACGTTTCAATGACACTGACAGACAATCATCTTAATACGTTTTGATTTGTTATGATGCAATTCATGTACAGGGTTATTCAGCTAAAATGACCTAAATGCACCTTTTGAGATGGCAACCAAAAATATTAATTCCAGTTATTACTAAATTAAAAAAAAATTAAAGTTACGTAGTGTTAAGATTTCATCTAAATTACCTTAAAATGCTGATGTATTCATACAATAACAGCGAAAAAGTTGATGTGGTACCTACTTATTTATGGTTTATGGAGAATGTCGCAAAGTGTACTAGCGCTGCAACAGAGTTATACACTCAGATATCTAAAACCACCGCACCAACCCAAAAGATTTTCAAAAAAATTAACATCCTTTACATCAAAACTGGCCAACAAATGCAGGAAATCCTCATGTGGGGCAAATAACGCTGATCAGAGAAGTAGATATTATCCTGTTGTCGGATTTTAACAACGAATAAATTTAATCCATGTCCCGTGCAAATGGTCCTATTGATTATTATCTCCGAAAATTAAATTTCTGTCAGTTTGTCAGAAATCAACTGTGGCAAAATCCCAATTTTATAAAAAATGTTGTATGTAGTGATGAAGCAAGATTTATTAGTAAATACTAAATAATGTAACTGATGATAACAGACATAAATTGCTTTGCTTAGGAAAACGTCCACTGGAGCGTCAAACCAAATTTCAACAAATTTTATCAGTTTGTTAATGTATGGTATAGTATTATAGGTAATCATATTTTTGGACTTTTTTTTATGAAGAAAATTATACCTGTGGATTTTTAAAGTACGGGTAAAGAAGTATGCTGATGCTTCATGTTTTTCCATAACAAAATTTTGTGATGTCATGTCAACATTTTAGTAAGAACACATGTATGAATTTGAACAGGTGTGCACTGTAATATTAATCAAATAATAACAGTACTGTATTCCCAAAATTTCGGGAACATGGAGTGAGACGTCCTTGATTTGATCAACAAAATAGATTGCCCCATTCATGATTTTTTGTCACCTTGCACCAGTAATTCTAAAAAATATTGTATAAAGTCATGTCATTCATATTGTGCATATTTTACATATGATTTATTCAGTCAAATTTTGAGATGAAGTCATGAATTTTTTGGGAGGGGATAAACGGATAAATTTTGCTTAGCTATACATTTACCGTACTTACAGTAACCTTAAGACGTTTGCAACATTTCAGAGCATTTGTTTTTGTAGTTTCAAAGTTCAATTTCAAAAATATTGATAGATAATTTTGATTTTTTTTTCTAAAAAATCAATAGACAGATACAGACGTAAACGTAAGATTTATTTTTTCGTATTCTAGGGATTATGAAACGTCCAGAAAATATGAAAGCAGCTATTCGTCGGAGGAATCCTATTACAATACTTATTTAGTTTGTGCTCAGGAAGTAAAAAATTTGTCAAAATTTGTGTCGATGCTAACCACGTTGACATTATATATTTGTCAATAAATAAATAATAAAAAATATGTGATCATTCTGTTGTGAGGAACAAACGTTACGTTATTATCGCGTACGAAGTGGTCAAAATAATTCATCTCGTATATATTCCTGTTTAAAGTTTTGCGTTGCCGTATAAAGTGACTGGATCTATTATTACTTTTGAAATGTGTGACAAATTACCTTGTGATAACCCAAAGATTCTGTCATAAATTGACATGTAAACAAAATTCAAAAACCCGCGAAAATTTTGAAAAATGGCCATGAACGGTGATCGTCAACATTGTGGTCAACAAGATGGGACCCTACGTTGTGTTTTGAAATGACGGAATACGTTCTAATGCAAGTGGTGGACGGCAAAGTTGGAAAAGTAACCTCAAATTTACGACACAAAAATATGGCGTGAATAATTTTACTCAGTTCTTTCAAAAGGCTGTATTCGCTCAGCTATAAAATCTCCTCGTTCCATCTCCGCTCTCGCCACCCGAATTCAATGAAGCGAAATTAATGAATTAAGACTACAAGACATCGTAAATCGAATTTTAGATCATAAATGTTAAAATATGGTCGAAATCACAAGAATCTCGTTCGGTATACACTTCATTATGGGACGAGTATCCGAGTATAAACATTCCAAAATTCTAGAATTCTAGAATGATTAGTCATAGAACACATAAATCATAACACAAAATCAGTACAAAATCCCCCTCAATGCTTAAAATTAAATCAAGAATACTGCCAATTACTATTTTAAAATTTCCAAATGATAATCTGTTAAATTTAAATAATAAATTTAAGTTAGAAAAAACCATCCGTCCTCTTAGACATTTGGCAATTTAAAATATTATACAAGAAAAATAAAATGTATAATTTCGAGAGATTGCGTTAAGTAAAAATAACAATTTTCATGATTGTAAAACTGTGTTATAACCATGAACGGTTAAAAATTCTAACATGAACGGTGAATTTACAATCAACGAATTTACACCACATGTTAACAACATGGTCAAAAACTCACACATTTCCGATTAGGAAAACATTAATGATCAATTACGGTGGTGAGGAAAACTGTGGCGTCGCCATCGATGCGATTAAGGTTCGTTTAAACAGAGGCTATTTTATGAAACTACCAAACCAAACTAAATTTAACCTAGGTAACCTTCTAACCTTAATATCTAGCCTTCACGAGAAAATCGCAATGAAAAGACGAAAAACAAAATTCGCAAATTTGCAAATCTTAATTATCTGCATGCAATATCATCCAAAGATTATAATCAGAATGGACCATCAATATAATGTATTGTTACGTTTGACGGGCGAATAATTAATCGGGCGTAGGTAAAACTCAAAGATTTATTTCTTTAGCTCGAATTACACTACTAGCTATTGCAACGAATATGTACAGAAATTATTCCGGCGAATTTCACTGAACGCTCTTGACTGTCTCCACTGGCTGAATAATCCATTCCCGACGGTTGCCTCTATTTAAACCCATACTTCTCCGATCGAGATCTTTCACGAACATCCATCGCGACTCCGCTTCGAGACTTCCCTGGACGCCGCTTCGAGACTTCCGGTAACCGGCTCCAGACCTGTTTTTATGCGCCCGCCGCTCGGCCGTCGACACCGTCAGCAGTGATGATTCACCCATCAACGCCGTGCGTACGTCCAGAAAGCTCTCGACGGCCATAGGCGTCGTACTGGGGCGGCGTAAGGGTGTATTTCGTAACAGTATTATAAAATCGCGAAATACGATCTAAGAGGCATCCCATGGAAGACATATTAGACTTTTTTGTTACACTCTAATGTCGCGAGAGACAAAATAAGTGGGTTAAAATCTTTATAAAAGCGAAGTCTTGGAAGCAAATTTTAGTCAAGTCTAGAGGTGCCTTTGGTCGTGCCATCAGCCTGTTCCGAGATTTTTCCCCAAGGCGAATCTCTGTCCGAATTTTTACCGAATTTTAAAGAAAACTGGAAAAAATTGCTGAAATCCATGTAAGTCTACCCTTAGTCACGTTTAAGTTTATCTCGCTCTCGCTACCCTAATGTATTCTCAACTTCAGCCGTACCTATTAAGCGATTAATTTATGCGTCTTTTGTCGGTATCTTTCGATGCCTTTGGTATGAATAAATAGCGCCGGGCGTGGAAAGAATTGTTAGCGTTAACAGATGTAGTGTAAATTTCAACTGCTTAAATGTCATAAAATTTCCAAAGTCGTACGAATTTATTTGTCATTTGTCAGGTGGGGAGGCGGTTATATAACTGCTTATTAACCAGATAAAATTTTCATTTTTAATTTTTATTTGTTATTTTATATGATTAATCATTTGAGATTAAATGTAAAAGTTTATGTAGAACAACATATTAGGACAGGACTGGCTTGAAAAAGGGTCATTGCATCCCCAAAACCGGTGGCCAATAACAGTAAATAAATTTTTCGGACAGAAAAAGCATTTAGATTACTATTTAATTTGATTAAGATTCATGTGTTATTTTCGTAGATTTTAGATCGAAGTAAACGAAAGCAATTGCGAAGCACTTTTATCATATTTATGCATGTATTATTGTCTTTGCCAGTTTTATTGAAACACCACCTGTTGATTTTGCTTAAGGGTGGCGTCTGGTTCGGTTTCGCCCAATACTAAATACATTGAAAACATCGTCGTAGTTTCCGGAATTGCATTTTTAAAATACTGAAATCTCTATCCAAGTCAGAATCTAACGAAACCTGCATTCTGCTACCGCATCACAGCTCGTTTAATGCCGATTTCTCGTTTCAATAGATTTAGACTTTTCGCGAGTTATTTACTTCAGTCATGGATTTTTTGATATTATAAATGGTATCAAAAGAAAGCTGACACTTTTCCCCAGGGGACCTCCTATCTCAGAATGCAAAAAACTTCAGCACTTCGTCAAAAAATGCATCAATGTGCCGGTTAAAATGTGATGTAAAAGTTGTTCAACTTTATCATTTTTTTTTGTAAAAACAGCATACTAAATATGAATATAAATATGGAGGTCCCCTGCACTGAAGTTTGTTAATTCGAAATATAATTTTTTTAAAGCGATATATCTCATATTTTTAAAATGCAACTCCGGAAACCGCGACGATGTTTTCAATGTATTTAGTATAGGGCTAAACCGAACCAGACGCCAGCCTTAAAATTTAGCAATTGATGACAGCTTTCGGTTGATTGACAACGGCTTTTAGTTAGAATATTGTCTGAATATGAACGTTGCCAAATTTACGATTAACAAGTGGTGTTTCAATAGAAATGGCAAAGACTATATTTATGTTTTATTTTCTTATTTTGCAATCACATATTTAATCATTTATCTCTAATCAGGCTAGTAAATTTAAGAGCTTTAATTTCATGAATGAATCTATGTTGATCAAATCAAGAATGGCACACACTATTTTATCGAAATTTTGGGAATACAGTGTTGTAAGTAGCATTACACTCAAATTGATATATGGGACTTTGTAAAAATGTTGATGACGTTGTCACAAAATTTTGTAACGGAAAAGCTCACTTGAAACATGCGCATAGCACGCTTCTTCATCTTTACTTTAACACTACACACATATCTCTTAACAGATATGCGGAATCAGGGTTGAAATTACCGCTAGGGTTGTCTGTGTTGGGTCGGAAATGAATACAAAACACAGGATTGGGACACTGTGTGATTTTCACCGAAGTGGTATACATACGATTTTTCCTTGTTGGTTACAGCAAATAAACCTTATTTTTATTTTACTACGTATTTTCATCATTTTTCCCGACATATCTTTATTTTAACTTATATGTGTCATCACAAAAAAAAGAAAATAAAATTCGCAAACTTAAATTTTATAATTTTTCGAAGAAGCTGTATTCATTCAACTGTATTTCCGGGGTGAGAAAAGTTCTGTCTAAATAACTTTAAACATTTTTTTTTGTCAAAAGCTCGATAGTAAATCAGGAAGTATTATGAATAAATCCAAAAACAATATTGAATAACAATTTCACAAATAAATATCACTATATACAAATACAGTCTATGTACCAAATAACTCTGAATATTACATCATGTTTATTTGTGGGGGTTATTTTTGTTCTCAGAGATTCTTGCCGATGAAAAGTTTAATAAATCCACTTCCATAACTTCGATTTCATGTTGAATTGCGTTATCCAATATGCCGTAAAATCTGGTGGGCTTGTAGAACCTAAAAATAGAAAGTCGTCACATGAAAGTACGGTATTATTGAGATACAAATAACAATCTAGCTACATAGCAAGTACTTACTTATTAAAATTAACACAATCCTCTAAAAAATCTGGGAGTTCACGGTTATGAACATCCCAAAGCCAAAAGCATACTCCCACTTCCGGAATGAAGCTTAAAAGCAAAATTAACAGAGAAACAGTGAAAGTCGTCGGTTGATAATAAAATTGTGCAATAATTTCTATGACACCGGTTAAGTGAAATGCACCCATACATAGTCCAAAACCAAGCCCTCTTAATTTTGTTGGGAACATTCGAGGGATTATATTGGTAAGTGTCGTTAAAGATGTAAAGTCTAAAAACGTTGCACACAACAGTATAATGCGGAATATATCGTCCTAAAAGTACAACGTTAAAAAAAAAACTAAAATGGAAAGCGTCACCTAAGAACTATTTTGCCGCATAAACTAGACAGTGTCCGAGACATTTTCTACTGTTCTGTATAGATGTGGCGCTCTAGTGAAAGAAGCCTGACAGATAATGAAAATTAATTTTCTTTGAACAACCGCAATTTAACACTTTTTTAGTTGTTATAGTTTCAGAAGTACTTCCGTTCACTGAGCGTAAGCTAAGGAAATACAAGGTGACTGCGAAATACATGCAAAAAAAAATGGGGAATAGCTCACAATATGATTATGCCACTGGCAAAAATTCACGGTCCTAAGTGGTAGCAGTGTCTAGAAAAAATTATTTGAAATTAAATGTAAATTGTTATACGCGCCGCTGGTAATGTTTCGTGACCTACATAATTACTCCAATGAATGGGTAGGGGACTCGGAGTAAGAACCAAAAAAGTAACTTTATCAGGCACTTTTTTAATCGCAACGTGAAAAACACGAAAAGGGCCAGTCATTATCGAGCGGTCGTTGAAATCGGTGTATGGTAGAGTTTTCCAATGCAGAGTGTGTCGATATGGTAATTTGTATTTGCATCAGTGGTACAGCATCTCCGAGATCATGGTACCTTCAACCTCAAACTCACGATCGTGGTCGTGATGGGACAGAAAGAAGAAATTGGATTTTCGCAGCTTGTAGTGCCTCCTACATTAAAAGAACACGGTCACATCCATACCATGTTGACAAAGTGCACGGTTTGGAGCCCGCTGATTGTCCACGTTGTGTAACTCACTTTTTGTCCGATGGGACTCCACGTAGTCGTCAACAAGTACGATTTCAAGAGACTGTTTTCGATAAATGTGTATTGGTTGGATGAAACAATTCGTTTGTGGAAATCAACAGTGTCCAGAAATTATCGAAGAGCTTCAACAAGTGTAAGTGGCAGTCGCTACTTCGGTGTTTTTTTACCTATCAACAAACCTCTTGCGACGCTTTGACCCCTGTATTGCTAGTCAAGGACAACATTTTCAACATTTCTTGTAAAAAGGTAGTAGCATTCTAAGTTGCTCTTATTTCTGTTCCAATAAACAATGTAAAATCGTTATGACAAGGACCAAACATCCGTCAGAATCAAAAAACTTTCACACTGACCTTTAACGATGAATGAGTAAATGAATGAACGAATGATAAGCAGCAAAAAGTCGGTTTTACTTTTAATTGAAACTGAAAGTGTTTAGGTCGTTTTTATTCGAACGTTTTTCCAACTCTGTTTACAAGGTGGCTCAGTGCCTTCGTATCGAGGATGGTTCATGGGGGTTTTGCCCCATTCGATTTTTAATTTGTTTTTTCTATATTTCGGCTCTACTAGGGTGGGGGATGGCGTGGTTAAAATATTTGCACATATTTCGCAGTCACCCTGTATAATAATCGAGTCCATTGGACGAATGGCCACTTTTATGTTTTCTCGACGTTTCATGACCCCTACAGTACGAAAAAAATAATCTCCCATTTCCGTCCGTCCGTCTGTCTGTCCGGCGCCTGTATCTATTTTTACATGACACGTAGTCTCCGAAACTACCGGACTGATTGTTGTCAAAATTTGCATATATATTTGACACATCATGTAGATGGTTGAACGCTAACCAAAAGTTGTCCAATCATCCCCACTAAAATTTTTAACAATAAATGTTTCCTAAATTTTATAAAATCAAATACTCATATACTTGTAGTTTACGGATCCATATTTATTTTTAATCAGAATTACTTTATTTTACAAAAATGTTTCTGCAATATTCACTGCGTGTTGTGTATAACCGATATCTCGCGCGCATTGTAGCTGTTGGGTTGCGATGCCAGAAGATGACTAATTTCTGCTTTCTAAGCGTTCAAATAAGGTCCGCACTAGTGAAGTTCAAATCTCATTCTCATCCTCGTTACATTTTTTTTAATCAAATCTACAACGACTCAGCCCATTTACTCGAAAATTACAGTAATGTCACACCGCAAATAATTTTTATTAGAATAACAAACAGCTCCTCACCCAAAATCATTTTCGGACCGTTTTGCTGTATTAATTAGTCCACTCCTCTATTCAACAAAATCAATCAAAATTTCCCCCCGCGCGATTTCCCGTTCCACGGTCGCCACCCTCAGGACCAAGAGCCCGTCCAGAAGGAAGCCGGCGGCCAAGAGCCCGAAACGATCGTGGCGGATATTTTGTTCTTTTTTTTTAATTCAATTGTAATTTCATTTTAAACTAGCCATAAGGTTATTTTAACCGGCAGGAAATAAAAACCCGATTATTGTTAAAAATTCCGGAGTGTTAGTTTTTGTTTTCGCGGGTGGTCCCCGAAGAGGGAGCTGGCGGCCGAACACCGCCGCACCCGACCCAAGGCGCCACCCCCGGTGAAGGTGATCTCACAGCCTAGGTCGGCCAGACGTGTTTGTTTTTAGTAGCACTAGTCGTGGGCCAGGGCTTGGCACCGAGGTACGCCAGTCCCACGCGATATGGGCGAAACTCCGGACCGTCACTGACCTGCCTCCCTCCGAGTTTTCGATTTAAATGAGCAGTAGCTTGCAGTTTGGATCCCCGCGGCAGGGGCTGCACAGGGAATGTTATTTACACGATTGGTTTTTACTTTTTAGAGGTTAAAAGAAGCAGGATCTGTTTCAGGGGCGAGGCAAGTTCTGTCGAAAAAAACAAATCTGTTTACATTTCGAGCCGTAAAAAATCATGTCCCTTTCAGTAGTGGGCGAGCGAGACGTGCGCCCAAGCCCAATCGAATAGCAGAGGCGAAAATGTCTCGGACACGGTCTGTTTCTATCTGGCAAACAAATTCTCAGACAACGAAAGATATTTTTACATTTTCACCCCAATAAAGGTCAGGCACGAATGCTCCACAAACAAATATACATTTTAAGATTTCAGAAATACCAATTATTATTTTGTGGCGAACAAAATGCATCAGAGCTATACTTAAAACACATCCTAGTACACAGCACATTGCGTGTAAATAAACGTAGATATCGGTATGAATGTAGTGCTCTAAAATACAATTCCACAATCCCATGCAATAAGAAATATACAGTAGAGCTAAATATGCATATCTAGGTCTTACGGGTTTCCAAATGTTGAAAAAGGTGGTCTTACATAGCATTTGACTACTCTGAAATAAAATACTAAAAGATATGGTAATAAAGCAAACAATTACCTGGAAATATGTACAATAATTAATGTCCGTACTGGTCGGACTTTGATGCTGGCTGATATAGGATTTCTGTTAAAATGTGCAATTTCACCAAGTGTTTTTTCGCCTTTAGAATATTCTGCCTTAATGGCCATGTAGTTAGGAGATTCTTTATAATATCTATAATCAGTTTCTTAATGCAGATTTTAAGAAAAAGAAAAAAATCTATACAATAAAGGAATTAAAACAATCAGAGGCAGAACAGAAACTCCTGCTAATGCCCCTTCTACACTCCCAAAAACGTTTTGTATAAATTGAAAAATAATTATTCCCATAGATCTGTGCAAAAAAACAGTACCCAACGCAAGCGTTCGCCATTTATTTCCAACTGTATCACACACTGTAAAAAAACCTTTTTAACATGTGCAAAATCTGTTGTATATCGATTTTTACCTATTATTAGCGGTAAAGAAAAAATGGTGACAGAAAATACACCGTTGAAGAAGATAAAAAACATCAAAATTTCCTGATTCGTTATGCTAATTACCAACAGTCCCGTGAAACAGTGCAATGACATGAACACTCCTAATGTAACTTTCATTCCAAATCTATCGGCACAACTACCAGTCAACAAAGAGCCTATTACCAAACCTAACCGATAACAATTTTTTATCCAGGTTGCATATACCCATCGATCACAAACCAGACTCAACTGCAATAAAATGTTAATAAACATGTACTATAATTCCAGTTTATTACCTTTTCAGTGAATGTAATTAAATTAGTATCCTCATTAAAAAAAGTGAAATTTTTGCAAGTAGTTCCGTTTGCGTTTACGCATTGACTTCCGTTACCGTCAGCACATATGAAATGTGGATGTAGTGGTACAGCGCCGGAAACTGCGGCTATATCTAAACCATTTAGAAAGTTTGAGACCATGCAAAAGACAACCACTGCTATTTGCCAACGGCCACAACTTCCAGCAAGACTGGTTAAAAGTTCTTCTGGTGGTGAAGTCGACGATACTTCTACGCCAGGCCGATAAAATTTCATTCCACTCATCACTAGGGTTTAAAATACATGCCAGCAACACGGCAAAACAGTGCTATTTTGTAATGCGTAATTTGATTTAAACGCGGTCCGATGTTTCAATGACACTGACAGACATATACGCCATATACCATAGGCCTTATAAGTTTTAATTCGTTTTGATCCCATAATTCACTAGACTTATCAACACAATTTGTTTTGAATTTAAAATTTCCAACGTCATGAGCAGTCAAGCAGTATCACAATTTTAATTTTCCAAAAATGACACGGACATACTGATGTATTTAGAACTTTTTTTTTAATATAGGGATTTTACACGTAAAAACATAAATTTAGAAGTATTGGCCTTACTAATTATTTTAGAGCAAAACATTAACAAACATTGCAGGGAATAAAAAACTGTATCTAAAAACTTCTTGACTTGTTCCTTGTTTCACCTTATGGCAATGAAATGAAATGAAAAAAAGAATTCACATTTTGTGATAAAATAGTAACAGCCATGAAATGTTACAATTCATTGACAGCATAATTTATCACTAATTACTGAATTTTGCACCTTTTGTTTAATATATATATAGAGGAAGAAGTTAACTGGGTAAAATGGACTACGCCGGGAAATTATAGCAACTTTTGCAGCACTTTACCTGAATCGAAAAATTCCAGGATCATTGACAATCGAAAGAGTCCTACAACGGTTTGAAATACAAGGTATGGCAAACAAATTCTGCAAGTGCTAAAACGGAATGAATAATCCTGGTGCTAGTGCAGAAGAAACTGAAACTGTTCGTCTTAGTATGGCTGAGGTTTGAGAAAATAGGACTAAATTTGGGGATGTTTTATTTCGGTTGACAAAATTTAAAAAAAACAACGCCTAAAATTTAAATCGTATGTTTATAAATATGCAAGACACCAACAAATTTTTGACAAAAATAAAGAAAGGAAAATGTTGTTTCACAAAACTAAATATCGTGGAGATAGCAAATAATAACAGACATTTTATTTCCAAAATTTTATTTAGCGAAGAATGACCTTTTTCTTTAAATGGTAAAATAAACTCACAAAACTACCGTCACTGTAGGACAGAAAATCAACATTTTATTCTTGCCAAGTAACATCCACATCATGGTAGTGTATATGTATGTGCCTGGGTCACTATATCATTGGACCATATTTTATTCCGATTAAATGGCAATCATCATTTAAATCTGCTGTAAGAAAGTGTAGTAATACCAGCTAGTAATGATTTGGAAATTGATAACATTTGGTTTCAAAAAGATGGTTGTCCGGTCCATGATGCACATTTTGGAAAGACATTATTTAAGTGCAACTTCTAAATCGTTGGATATGTAGAGCGGCAACTGGGGCCGTTGAGATCCCTCGATTTGGCGCCGAATAATTTTTTTTGTTGGGGCACTAGCAAACCCGAGTTTACATCAATGAAACGCCTTAACACAACGTCGAAGATATCGCTGGTACGACGCCTATAGGTCTTCTGGTATCTATGTGTTTCTTCTAGTATGTAGTAAGTATAACTCATCGGCCGAACGGCGCGGCGTTCTGTAAAGGAAAACCTGAAAGCGGATGTCGCGACGGACCCAGAAAACCCTCGAAACGGCGTTCTCGAACCTTCGAGCGGCACCAATAGGTTTAAATAGAGGCCACCGTCGGGAACGATTATTATTCAGTCAGTTGAGTCAAGAGAAGTTGCGCCAGAATTATTTTATACATAATCGCTGTAATAGTCGTGCAAATTTGGGTTAGTAAGAAATAAATTGTTGAGTTTTACCCACCCCGATTTTAATCACCCGACCAACGTAACAGTATAATAACTCCTACATATAAGTTAAAATAAAGATCTGTGTAGACTGTTAAAGTGCAGGTAAAAAAGCATGCTATGCGTTTGTCTCAAGTGAGTTTTTCCCTAACATTTTAGCAAGGACATATATGTCAATTTGAATAGATGAAGTGTAATATCAATAACAGCACTATACTCAAATTTTCGGGGAAACGGAGTGAGTCGTTCTTTATTTGATCAATGAAATAAATTGCCGTTAATTTTTTTGAATACAGTCGCGGCTATTGAAAAGTACCACACTGCATTTTGGTGCATTATTTGAAAATTTAAAAATGCGTGCAAGCCAAGTTAGATTTTAACAATGCTGCTGTCAGTGTTTGATAAAACATTGTTGTACGTCTTTTTGGAAAATGCCACAGTTAACAATTTGGATTTTGCCAAATCACCGCAAAGAACTGATACAAAGCATTTCAGATACTTGGCATGTAATCCCGTTAGAATATGTTCAGAATGTGGTGTTAGCAGTATCAAAACGTCTCCTAAGCGTCATCGATTTAGCTGGTGTTATAATAAAATGTGTTGAAATAAAATTCCCTGCTCTACGACACTGTTTTCAGTGACATAAACCACAATTATAAATATTTTGCATATTTTAGATAAGGAGAAAAAGATAAATTTTGATTAAAGATTTGCCATGCTTACGATAAGCTTAAAACGTTTGCAGAATTTCAGAGCATTCGGTTTTGCAGTATCAAAATTAAATTGTAAATCTTGTTATACCATTTTAATTTGTTTTTTAAATCTGCATGCTTAGGGTAAAAATTCAACATGGGTTCATAAAACACAAGTGCAGGAGCATCTTATTTTATAAAATTTAAATATATTTTGGAGACGACGTCATCTCATTGATGGATTAACCAAATTTTGTTTAACGTTTTATCATACCAAATAATAGGTCAGAAATCCTATTATATCGACACAAATCACGCCTTCTCGAAAGAGTTACCAATAACTTAATGCATGATACTATAGTATTTGTCAAAATTAAAAATCCAACACGGCATTCTACCGTGAAAATACAACTGACGATTCCATGTCGACACGCTCTGAATTGGAAAAATTCACCATGTCAAAGACGTGAACCGAACACATGACGACAACCAACTGATCCATGATTGGCCCTTATCGTGTTTTTGCACGTTGCTTATCAGTACGCCGCTTTTTTGGTTCTTAATCCTGGTCATTTTGCGCCATTCTTTGAATAGTATTTAGGCCAAGAAACATTACCAGTAGCGTGTATAACATTTTATATTTAATTTCAAATGTTTTTTTTCTAGAGATTGCTACCATTTACAACCATGAACTTTGTACCGTTCAATAAATCTTATTGTGAGCTATTCCCCACTTTTTTTATTGCACACATTTCACTTGTACTAAATATTTTGATAGCCTTTTTGATTTTATAAAGAGCGGATTTTAGGGCAAATGCCTTTTCACTTTTTGGTTGTAGGCAAATGCATGAAAGTTGTATCTAAATGTGTATCTGAGAAAATCCTTTTATTTGGGTCCTATTTGTTTTTGCCTACTTGCCTATTTTTGATAATTAGTGCCTTTTTTTGCGTTTTTTCGGGTTATTTTTTTCTGCCTATTTTGTTCTAAATTCTAAATTTATATACCTACCCCTAATCACATGTTTCTCGCGAAGGTCACATTTAATATTTCTGGTACTAGAAAGAAAGATTATCCAACCAGAGTTTTGTGTAAAAGGGTCGGGAGAATTCCGCTAGCAAAATGGCGACAATTCAAAACCCAAATCTATTTCTCTGCGTAAGCGTAAACCACCAAAAAACAAATTTTATTGCACAATTAAGTGCGTAGATAGGTTTTAAGATAATTAAAACACCCATTTACAGACCCGGACACGAGTTGTCTCTTGCTTTTCTAGTGTTAAGTACACTAAGCGTTCTTACAACTTTCTTTTCGAGTTCTCGTCCTGTATCAATTAGTTCGTGTTGGGTTTTCGTAAAGTGAAATTCAAAAGTGTAAAAGTGTTTTAAAAATCATTTATAATTGTGGCGACACAATAATACGTAGTAGTAAGCGAAGAAAGATAAGCTCCTCCGTAGTCTAGTGGTAAGGGCACCCGCCCGGCAAGCGATAAACGTGCGGTTCGAACCAACATTTTTCTTCCCTTACCAACATAATCTTTATATATAAAAGGCAATGTCCCGATTGACCTATCCACGCCCAGCCCAAACCGCTAATGCTAGAAACTTGAAATTTGGAGAGAATGTTCATTTTATACTGGAGGCATCGTTTAAGAAGGGATTTCTCGAAATGCAACCCCAAAGGGGTGATAAAATTTGTACATGACCAATATGTCTACTGTAAAATTTACATCGTTGCGTGAAACCTGGTACATTTTAATCCTCTTCAATACAAATAAGGAAATACGTATTTAAGCATTTTCGGAGATTCGACCTAGTATAATACATATATTGTGCCATTTTAAAAAATGCCAAAAATCAAATCGTTTTTAAACAACAAGTTAATAAGACGAAAAACAAGACGTTTTTCAAATAGAAAACGGCGAATTGTTCTGTAAAGCCTGTGAGGAAAATTATAAGTCTAAACTAGTTGTTGAAGTAGTTGAAAAAACTTAACAACAAAACATTGCGCTTATTTTTGGAGAAAAACTGCAAAAATAATATTCCTGGGGAATCAACTTTAAGAATTATACTAAACTCACTTGATATACACCCTGTAAACTTTTATGATTTAAGCAACTTAAGCCAAAGCACCCTTATAACCTATAAGTCAAACTGGTTATTGTATAACTTAACTCAGTTCACCCTACCTAGTAAAATGATGGCAACAATAGACGGTAATAATCTTTGCGGTTCGGGTCCATAAAGCTTACAATGGCCATTTTGACTTATAAGGGTGGTTTGGCTTAAGCCGCTTAAGTCATAAATGTTTTACAAGGTGTATGTCAACTGAGTTTAGTATACTTGTCCCTAACTTACGATGACTCGTAGGTATTGTGTGATTGCGTAGCAACATAAGATTGGAACATCCTAATTTTTTCTATTCAGTTATTTTACGTTGTACTTTTATAGGTGACAGATAGTGGGGTTCACGATATTTGGATAGCAGTAGAAACTACAAATTCTAATGGGCAATACGTTGCAAACATTCTAGGGGGAAAATTATCTGTAGAGACAGCTGGTACACCACGTTTACTGGCATCGAAAATATTGGAAAAAACTATAATCTAACAGTGGCAGGTTTCATTAAGTCGTTAGGCAATTCTATTAATTTTTAGAAAAGAATCCATTTTTGTGTGATCGATTTAAATTAACTTCGACTTGCATTAGTGTTCAAATTGCATCTAAATAACGTCAATCAGATTGATTATATTTACCAATGGACAGTTGCAAAGTTATATTAATATTATTGCACAATTAGGGCATATTTGCAACTTCGCTATGTCGTAAGGTAAGTACATATAATCTGATGTAAGTCGAAATTAAATTTGGTGTGTGACCCAATTTCTGAGATGGTAATGTTAATTCAAATATGTATGTATGTAATAATACATAACATAATATAGGTATATTATGGCCAACAGGAATCAAATACGAAGAATTAAAATTGCTACTAACGGACGGCGCTGCATACATGGTTAAATGTGGCAGACATTTGGAAATATATATTTTGTCGCAACTTAGTTCATGTAACAACTTTGGCTCACGTCTTAAATTTAGTTGCTGAAGTTTTCCGGAATCAAGATGAAGATGTCAATGTTTAATTTCCACTGTAGATAAAGTATTTCGTAAAGTTCATTTGACGATCCACGCCTTCCGGGAAGCCTTACCTGATTGTTCATTGTCTCCAGAACCTGTTATAACAAGATGGGGTTCCTGGATTGAAGCGGCAATATATTATTGCGATCATTTTGACAGTATACAAAAGGTTCATTTATTGCTATTCATGATTTTGTTGTGTAATTCTAAATTAAATGAAACATTTATGTTATTTTGTAATTTGACTCCACACTGTCGAAATGCATCACCAATGCTCAATACTACTTCCCACAAAATCATCTCAAACATGATTTTAAATAGGTTTTTATCTTAAAAACAATAATAACTAGATTAGAGACCACTGGGGTGACCTTAAGTCAGTCTGTGGATAGGTATAGTGTAGCTATTGTATAAACGACTGGAAGATATCCCAGGGACAGTAGGAGAAGTAGCATTTACAAAACTGTAAGATTTTTACAAAAAAATACCGGGTACCAAGAGCTTAAATTTGTCAGCAAAATATTACATATACTGTGGTATTACAAGGCGAAACTATAGAAAAAGATTTAAAAATAAAACCCCACTGAAATTTATTCTTTTAAATATTTTCCCTTAACATTATGTGATGTTGAGAGATTCTTCTTTAGGTATATGTTGGATGTATGATTGTTATTCATACATACGTACCGAAAAAGATTGATATAAATGAAACACAAACATGTGCTGTGTAACACTGTATTTACTTGTTGTTGACGGTTCGAAGTCTATGTACAAAGTTGTTAAAATCGGAAACGATACATTGCAGGTAGAAGAGAAAGTTGGGGACGCTTGTTGACAAGGGTTGCGGTTGGTAAGTAAAACCGAAACCCGAACATGGTCCGGCGCCTTGAAAGAACTAACTTTCAACATGACAAAGTATAACAATTGCAAATATGAAATACATAATATGTGTCTACATGACAGGTGCATACATTGACAATGAAATAGAGTACAGAACACATAGAAAAAAAGGGGTAAATTTAGACACTGCACATTTGTTTATGTCGGAAGCACACACAGCTTAGTCACTTGCAGGTTAATCACATCATGCGCGGTTCTCGCTGTCACTACGCGAATGGGGCCATGTAGACCGGGATGAACAGTAATAACGCGTCCCAGTGGTCCATATAAGCGGAGGTGTGTGGTATTCCTTAACGACCACCAAATCGTCCACCTTATGCTGTTGCGGCTGGCCTTGGTCCATTTTGGGCGATGATGAAGTTGACCCATATGTTCTGCTGTCCACCGTTTCCAAAATTGCTGCTGAGTGCGGCTGAATTGTTGCCACCTGGAGAGCCGGTTCGTTGAGACCGTGGTGACGTTATCCGCTGGAATAACAGTTAGAGGGGTTCCAACGAGGAAGTGACCGGGAATTAAAGGAGTCAGGTCATTTGGATCTTTGGACATGGCGGTTAACGGGTACGAATTCAAACACGTTTCGACTTGTATTTGCAACGTCTGCATTTCTTGCAAATTATATAAAAATATACCAGTAACGCACTTCAACTGACTTTTCGTAGATTTGACCATTGCTTCCCCGATAGTCCCCATATGTGGCGCGGAAGGCGGAATGAAATGAAAATTGATGTGGTTAGTTGTCAAATCATTCAGCAAATTTGTATTTGAAGCCCGTTTGGCTAAAGTGACACGTGCTTGGTAAAGCACGGGATCATCCCACCACAAAGTTTTTTCGTATCGTCTGTCTTCGAGATGAATTAAAATTTGATGATACATGTTACAAATGTCCGCAGTAAAAGCGACCTCATGCGTCCTAGATCGAATTATTGCATCGGAAATGTCGTTTTGTACTTTTGACCCTGTACTGAGACAAGCATTTATGCTTTTTCCGACTGATGGTTTAACTGACCCATCAAACACTACGCAAATCTTTTCAGTGACCCCGTCAGTTTTGGAAACCGCATGATGAGGCAAAAAATGATGGGGTTTACTTTCGATTTTTTGCTCTGTAAATGAACCTAGTAAAAGCATATGATCTAAATTAATGTCTTCTTTTATAAAATTATGATAGTTGATTTCTAACATAATATTTTTTGCGAACTTAAGTTCCGATGAGTACAATCGTTGAAGCGCGATTTCTTTCGAATCCCTCAAGATTGGGAAACACTTGCTAAATGTTAATCTGACTTGAAATCGTCCGTTGGATAATTGAGTGGCATTGTTAATAAAATAGTTCTCATGTTGTGTTTCAGGAGCTGTGAGCGACTTATCATCGTTTGAATGGGAGGGTTGGTCACTATGTAAAAGTGTATTATGTTTCAATTGGCATAATTTACATGCCATAGATTTACAGCTATCGGACGTATGCGATGGTTTGAGACAATTTTGACATAATTTCAACCTATCTACCTGACACCTTCTTTCCGAAACACTGAGTTTTAAAAAGGTAACACAGTTGAAAATTAAATGAGATTTTTTACAAAAATAACAAGTGGATTGTGTACTATTGCGATTTACTGCCGCTGTAAATGTAGACACCTTTTGTGTTTTAAGTGTATTATAAAAAGGTAGCCATTCAGTATAAATTCCGCTAAACGGTTTAATAACAATCGGGAGCGACTGCACCGATGGTGACGGTGTGCTCGTAGGTGCGTTACCTTGCGGTGCAGGTGAAGATGTGTTAACGCGTTTTTGTTCAATAGCATCTTCGACATCTGCACATAAATCGTAATACGCGTTTTCAAAATAAAGTCTTGTGGTAGCTTGTTCTAAATCGGGGGTGGCGTCATCAAGAGCTTCAATCTGAGAATGGATTTTGTCAAACTGAGCCTTAATACGTACAAAATCGCGCAATCTTACTCTTAGTCGAGAAGCGGATGTACTTAGATTGTTTGTTTCAAACCACAACTTGAAACGCGATATTTCGTCGTGAATGCGATCTCTTTTTAAGAATAAAATTTGTAAATTTCCTGCATCCTCTGGTGTAGGATTTGAGTCCGAAAATGTTTCGGCATTGTCGTCACCTTCCGCGCCTGCCATGTGTGGAGCATCGAAAGTTTGCGAACGCGTCATAACCATTTGAAAAACCGCTTAGTTGAAATACGTAAAACTGGTACAGTTCGGGCAAGGTAAATGGTACTTGCCAATGAAATTTAAATAAAATGACGTGCAATTACGGTCGAATGCGTGCTTGACCGGAAATAGATAAAGAAAAGGAATAGTTGGAACCCACTCACCGCAATAAGGCCCTCTGGCACCTGGGACGGCTAGACTGATTCGCTGCTCTCCTGTCCGGTTGGGAATTTCCAATGGCTGGATCCCGTCTCCCGATGCAGGCGTCGAAAATTGCCAAAACCGTAATAAGATCACCTGGAGCCTGGGTGAATTGACTGGATGGGCTGAATTCGCTGCTCTCCTGCTCGGTAGGGAACTCCGATGGCCGGTAGGTCACGTCTCCCGATACAGGCGTCGAAAATTACCAAAAACGTGATAAGGTCACTTGGAACCTTGGATGAAACGACTGGATGGGCTGGATTCGCTGCTCTCCTGTCCGGTAGGGAACTCCGATGGCCGGTAGATCACGTCTCCCGATACAGGCGTCGAAAAATGGCACCACCGCGTTTTATTGTTGAATTAACAGCACTGGATCACACATGTGGAGAGATTCGACTCGAAGGACCAATGTTGGATGTATGATTGTTATTCATACATACGTACCGAAAAAGATTGATATAAATGAAACACAAACATGTGCTGTGTAACACTGTATTTACTTGTTGTTGACGGTTCGAAGTCTATGTACAAAGTTGTTAAAATCGGAAACGATACATTGCAGGTAGAAGAGAAAGTTGGGGACGCTTGTTGACAAGGGTTGCGGTTGGTAAGTAAAACCGAAACCCGAACAGTATAAAAACGTCCTAACAGACAAAAGGACAATTCTTTCTGCAGAAAATTTAAAAAAATATCCCACTTGTTATATAAATTTTAACGAAGATTAGGATCGCTGATTATGTAAAATAATAAAATAAATATAGATCTCAAAGAAATCTAGATGTTGCTTAAAAATTTTTTTCAGGCCTAAATCTCCCGCTTTTTTGTTCGCTTATTTTAGGGTCTATTTTGGCTTTTTTTAAAGCGATTTTCACACCTTGTAAAAAAGCAGCTTATAAATAATACTGAATTTAAATCATATAAATGCTAAATAGTTCGCCATTTTATCGAGCTTTTGAAAAGCTAAAAACTTGTGCTTGGGATTACAATCATAAATTAAATTAACAAATTCTATCCACTCATTGTAGATTTCAGGCGTTGATCCCATCATTTGAGTCGAAGCAATTTTATTTAAATCAAATGCAGTTCCTTCAGTTCTACCAACCTTGAGATTTATGACAGAGCCTGACATCTAGTAGCTAGATAATTACATAGTCAAATGTAAATACAATTTTCTGCATTATCAACTTTACACTTAAGGACGTCATATGTCAACCACGACGCATGTAGCGAGAAATGTCAATTTTGACATAATCAATTTGTTTTGCAAATCGCAGCCATATGGTTATTAGTGTCATAATATTTATCTCAAGACAATAATTATTTTGCATTTTATAAAAATTAAGTGCTAAATATTTTCTGCTTTAAAATTAGCACAGTTCTTGTACAATTATTTAATACATTGAAAGTGCCCACCTTGAAAGAATGGCTGATTGGGAAGAAATTAAACGTTTAGCAGCTGATTTTCAAAAAGTTCAACTGAGTTCCACGTCACAAAAGTTAGTATAGTATAATAGAGAATTTACTAACCGTTTTCTGTACTTTGTCATTTGTAGGTTATCTGAACGTAACTGTATTGAAATCATATCATACTTGAAAGAAAAAAAAATCATTGATTTAATTTTCACCGTTGATGGTAAAGAATTTTTGACACCCTTACACCTGATTCAAGACATAAGAAACGAGCTTTTTGTTAGTGGGGGTCGAATTAATTTAGTTGAGCTAGCAAAAATTATAGGTGTGGATTTGGCACATATCACCACACATTTGAAAGATGTCCTGAAAGGACAGAAAGACATACATTCTATTTTGGGACAACTGATTGATTCCTCTTATATAACAAAAATAGCTGGAGAGATTAATGAAAAACTCTCACAACAGGGTCAAATTAATATTAGTGATTTAACAATACAGTATGACTTAAGTGCAGAGTTTTTACAACAGCAAGTAGTGGAAAAGCATTTAGGAAAAATCATTCATGGAAAACAAGATAGTAACGATCCTAGGGTATTCTTCACGGAATCATTCATTGCAAGGTGTAAAGCCAAAATCCGAGGAGCGTTAAGTGGTTTGACGCGTCCCACACCAGTGGCTTCTATTTTAAATCAGATTAATATGAGTGAAAAATTGTTCTTTTCGTTATATGACCAGACTTGTATGTATGGTTCTCTGACAAGTCGAGTTGTTGGAGCACAGTATATACCCAATGTTTATGCAAGGTCACAGGTAAGAAAATAAGTTAAGTTATGATTATTAATATTGGAAAGATTTCTTTGCGTGAGTAATAAACCAATGACTTAGTTTGAGTAGTAAAAAATCTATTACAGAAAATAAGTTCCTTTTAAAACTAAATATGATTTTAACAAAAACAAATGCATTTCGTGTTTTTAGGTGACATTCATAATATTTCAGATCCTGTTATTAATCAAATTTTATGAACACATATGAATTTCATTTGGTTTGAGTTAAATTAAAGATTTGAATTGAATGACAATAATATAGTTTGCTTCTACATTTAAGAAATATCCAGTTGATGTAAAAATACAGAGGGTAACATCACACAAATCATACAGGTTATAATAAATCACTGTCAGAAATAAACAATATAGTAGCTCCTTGTTAATTGCATACAGGGTGTCTCAGAAATAAGTACATTAATTTTAATCAGTTATAGAGCTCATTGACCTCAACAACTTTTTTTAGTAGAGTTTTGTCAAGAACTTTTTAATTATCAAGTTAAAAATTGTTAAAGTTATATCCCAATTAAGGTTACCCGCCCATGGATCCTCAGTCAGCCATGGACACTAATAATTATTATAATTAATAATTTATGGTCAAAAACAGTTACTAGGATACGTATTTTCCTAATCTGTTAGTTTCAATAACTGAACTTTCTGGTCCTGAAAGGGGTACATTTGTTCTCTGAGTATCCTCCAAATACTACTCTCCGATACATCACACTAGACAGTGATACGTGCTAGTGCCCGGTCGAGCTTCGACACTCTTCAAAACAGCCTCTTCAATATTAGCAATTCTATTACTACGTAACTTACCCCGATCCTGAGGTGCAGGTTTAAAAGATCCGTACTCTCGAAAATGCTGCAACGTTCTTAAAACTGCGCACATTTGGCAGACGACGATTTGGGAGGTTTTCTGAAAAAATTCACTGGGCGCGAGTGCCGTTTCCCCGAGCTTCACCGTACGTTAAAACGATATCGGCGCATTCCAGATTTGAAAACAAAGCCATTTCAACACATATAAATTAGAAATCTGTGCCAAAAAAACTTCAAAGCGACAACGTTTAATAAAAACATTGACATAAAAATGATTGTCAGTGTCAAAACGCTTGCTAGGGTACCTTCCTCATTGTTGTAGTGTTGTTATTATTTAAGTTATTATTTAAGGTGAACATAGACGGCTCGTGAATATATGGGTGGGAAAATTCGAAATTCGACATGAGTTTTCGAAAAGATGCTAGATAAAAAAGTTGTTCTGTTTCACGAGTTTTGTTGCTGGTTAAAATTAATGTACTTATTTCTGAGACACCCTGTATACTGGTTGACTATTATAGTGACTGTGTTTTTTTTTTGTTAAGTTGGCAACATATTTAAATTTTATGTGGCATACCTGAATGTCAAAATGAACAAGTTCTCAATTTTCTCATCACGTTTGTAATCCACGTCACAGGCGCTGCTGTCAAAGTTGACAACAGTGAACTGACAATTACATTGCCATTAATTAAAAATTGCCAACACAAAAATTTTCTTAATCACCCGGTATTTCCATAAATTTTAATCTTGTTAATTTTTAGAGAACGCTATCAATTAATTTAATCTTGTTTCCATTTTTTACCATTTTCGAGATTTCACTAAAAGGAAATAAAAAGTCAACGTTAAAATTCACAGCGATATTATATCAAAGTTTACCATCACAAGTTTAAAAAATTGATCAAAGGCTATCTCAATACAACTCTCCTCGCCAACAAATCCCGCTTCATGAAAAATTACAAAATTTAATTTGGCGATTTTTGGAGCTTCAAGTGTCTTCTTATAATAATTTAATTAAATTTCTTAGAGGATACGTCATTTGCTAATTGGTATTAGTCCCAGCCGTCCACCCTCTATTTTCTTAGAAAATATGTCATTTGCCAAAATCACTCTTAACAGGTACTAGCCCCACCCACCCGCCCCCTCTTTTCTTAGAGGGTATCTTATTTGCTAAAATCAGTTTTATCTTAGCAGGTCCTAGCCCCACCCACCCACCCTCTCTTTTCTTAGAAGTTATCTCATTTGTCAAAATCACTCTTATCTTAGCAGGAACTAGCCCCGCCCACCCACCCTCTCTTTTCTTAGAGGTATATCATTTGCCAAAATCGGTCCTATTTTAGCAGGTATGTACTAGTCTCGGTGAGTCGCGCTCTATTTTCTTACCGGGTATGTCATTTACCAAAATCTTATTTTAGCAAGAATTTCTAAAATTTTGTTCCTGGATCATTAAATACGCTAGATTTTTCGAATTAGTACGTTCATTTTTTATTCCCCTTATTGAAAATTTGGACATTTTTTCCAACGCACACAAAAATAGCCTGGACTTTTTTTCGACCTCCAAAAGTTACTTTTGGACCAATTTCTTCAAAAACACACCATTTGTTCGGAACGTCCAAATGAATTAGTGTAATTTATACGATTTTTGAGAAAAATTGACTTCAAAACCAAATATTTCCAAAATTTTACTGCTGAACCATTAACACACTATTTTTCATTTGTTGTTTTGAGATTGTATCGACGAGAATTACTGTAATTCCCACTTGAAAAACGTTAGAACAATAAAAGCGATGACTTTAACTGACATGTTTCAAATGACATTAATGACAAGTGAGAACTGTCATAATGAGGCATAATTTCAGCGAGGCGGGATATTTGAAATCAATGGCCACCTACGCCCTTCGAATCATTTATAAAAGCCCTGGGTATAAGATATTTTTCAAGTAGAACACCTCTATTTTAATTATTACTTCCCGAGTGTAAGCAAAGGAAGTATTGTAATCGAGTCCGTCGGCCGACTCTCTACTTTTACGTTTTCTCGATCTTTCATGACCCCTAGAATACGAAGAAATAGGTCTCCCATTTCCGTCTGTCTGTCCGTCTGTCCGTCCGTCTGTCTGTCCGTCTGTCTGTCCGTCTGTCTGTCCGTCTGTCCGTCTGTCTGCCGTCCCGGATTTTTATTAGACATATAATCTCCGAAAGTACTCGACCGATTGTTGTGAAATTTTGTACTTATATTAGGAATATCATGTAGATGGTAAAACGCTAACCAAAATTTGTCTAATCATCCCCACCACTAATGCGATGACGTCACTTCAAAATTGTACATAGTAAATGGGTCTTAAATTGTATAAAATAACATAGTCCTACACATGTAGTTTACGACTCCGAATTCAGTTTTTACCCGAAACGTCCAGATTTTTGGAAAAAAAATCAAAATTATAAAACAACATTTTGCAATTTAATTTTGAATCTGCTAACCCGAATGTTTTGAAATGTTGCAGATGTTTTAAGGCTCTAAAGAGCATCATAAATCTTTAGTCAAAATATATTTGGTTATCCCCTCCAAAAACTTGATGACGTCAGCTCAAAAGTTTGCCGAATAAATCCTATCTAAAATGTACAAAAAAAATATGATGCGTCTGTACTTGTGATATATCACTCCATTCATATTTTTTGGAGTTGCATATACAGGGTGACTCAAAAAAATTAATGAATGCGCAAAATTTATTTTACTGATTTACTCAGGAACTACAAAACCGAATGCTTTGAAATCTTGAAGATGTTTTAAAATTATCATAAGCATGGTAAATTTTTGATCAAAATGTATTTGGTCGTCCCCCCCTAAAAAATTTATGACGTCACCACAAAATTTTGCTGAATAAATCCTATCTAAAATGTACAAAATATGGTGAGTCTCTTCTTGTGATTTATCATTCCATTCAAATCTTTTCGATTTGCATATACAGGGTGACTGAAAAAAAAAATGAATGCGTCAATTTATTTTATTGATTTAATCAGGAATTACAGAACCGAATGCTTTGAAATCTTGGAGATGTTTTAAAGTTATCATAAGCATGGTAAATTTTTTATCAAAATGTATTTGCTCTTCCCCCCTAAAAAATTGATGACGTCACTCCAAAATTTTGCTGAATAAATCCTATCTAAAATGTACAAAATATGATGAGTCTGTACTTGTGATTTATCATTTCAATCATATTTTTTTGGATTTGCATATACAGGGTGACTCAAAAAAAAATAATGCATGCGTAAATTTATTTTATTGATTTACTCAGAAACTACAAAACCGAATGCTTTGAAATCTACTGCGAAAAAAAAACATAATAGGCATGCAGTCGTCACGTTTCCGACAGCGAGGGAAGTATTGTCTAAACTCTTTAGACCAATTTTTTTGTTGTACTATTTGTTATAAGATTTAGAAGACAAACAATAAGAGACCGGACGGGCGGGCGGGCGGGACTAATTTTAACTTTTTCGTAGAGTATTTTACAGGCAAGCAATAAAAAAAATCACAAAAAAATCTGGGATATATCTCAGATTTTTTTGTGAATTTTGAAACAACTTTTTCAGAAGCTCAATTTTTCTGTATATACAGGTTAGTCACGAGAGAATTACTTCTGAAAATTATTTTTACGCAACCCAAAATACGAATACCATGTACCATTTGATACTAACTGAATTTAAAATGAAATGCATAATCCATGATTGCTTTGAGTTTGGCAATCTCATTTTGACAATTGTGGTAAAGGAGGTTACGTGAGTGTCCATGGTGGTACCGCAGCCAGTCGGAAATCTCCTCCGGCGCCGCTAATAAATTTGTCAGTGTGCCTCTTGATCTTTTGCAACCGATTAATCACGAGAAAATTATTTCTAAAAATTCCTTTTACGGCATTTTATTCAAAATTTACAACACAAACTCAAACAAGTAAGTAAATAATTTAACTACTAATCTGTTGAAAATGTTGGGCATTTTGGGGGGATGCTACGGCTTTTTTGTAAATGGATGGCCGAAGAAGTCCAGTGGTTGCAGATTTGCACTTCGAAGAGGGTCTAGGTGACGCAGAGATGGCGAATTAACACATGCACATTAGCGGCGAACAACATTGGGAGAGCACTTACGGCTTCAGTATAGCCCAGATTGATCTGACTGTATGTCGTCGATCCAATGGGGCTCTAGAGCCGAGTCAACGATGAAAAAAAAAGTTAAAAATTAATTAACGTCAAAGTGACACTGCCAAAGTCAACGCAATCATGGATTAGGCATTTCATTTTAAATTTAGATAATATCAAGTGGAAGTACTTTGGGTTGCGTAAAAATAATTTTCAGAAGTAATTCTCTCGTGACTAAGCCGTATGTATATGAAAATTTTACCTTTTTTGGACCACATTCAAATATTACCTAAGTTTTTTTTCTTTTATATTTCGATTTATATTTTGGCCTCATTTCTTCAAAAACTCCTAATTACCCTAATTAAATTAGATTATTTTCAAACCAAATATGTCTAAAATTTTCCTCCTGGACCATTAACACACTATATTCGAAATTTTTTTGTGAATTCTAGCCAACTTTTTCAAAAGCTCATTTTCTTCAATATTCCTCCTATGAAAATTTTGACTATTTTTTTCGACCACACTCAAACATTAAATAAAGAGTTTCCTTTTAGTGGGTTTTAATCTCATTTCTATGTCCCAGAATTTTTCGTTAATTTTTAGATTCTAAATTCTGACTATACATACTCTTCACAACAAAAAGCTGAAAATATGTTTAGAATCGTAAATTTTATCTTCTACACTTCTCTCCAAAATTACCATTTTAAACACGTTTTCAATTTCTTGTCGTGAATAGAAAACTACGTACATACAGCGAGTTATTGAAAGGTACGTACAAAATAAAATCAGCAATTGGTCTCGAAGTATGAGAGTTAAAAGTAAAAAAAAATTCAGGTATAAGTGTTCTTCTTTTAGAGATAAAAATTATTAAAATTTATGTCCAAATTCGTTGTACGCCCCTGATAAAAATATCATCTTTCGTTTCTATAGTAACATTTAGTCTTGACAAAAGTTTTATTGTTACAGTTGGTAGGATTTACTAAAATAAATTAATTTTACCTGCGAGCTGTTACACTGTTTCGTACTAAATATGTGTCTGGGTAAGCTAAGGAAGCATAGTAATCCAGTCCATCGGGGGACTTGCCAGTTTGATGTTTTCTTGACGATTCATGACCCCTAGAGTACGAAAAAAAGTGATCTCGCGTTTCTCTGCCTGTCTATCTGCCTGTCGTTTGTGTCGATTGTCGGACGAGGGAAATTCTGTCTTCGACTAATTTTTTTTAACTTAAACTGTATCTCATAGCTATGACAGTTTTCGAAACCGCAATAGTACGAAACAATAGAGGTACATAATTCGATGTTATAAATATAAATTAAGCTTCACTTATAGTCCGGGTTTGGATTAGGTATAATTTATACATCCAAGTTATGTAATGGAATGGTATTTCTTTAACGTATGCTTAGTATCAATGTGGGAACTATCAATCAAAAAATTACAGTGTCATGATAAATATATAGGTCGCCACAATGCCAACAAAAAATACAAGCTGTCAAAAAAACCTAGTATGCAAAAAGGACATATATTTTTGTTTCAGATATTCATTTAAAACCACACATGTGAGATCCACTCACATTATTTTAGTTGACAAGCATACACAAGATTTCATCTCCACCTGCCTTCTAATCACCTAAATGTCGCTTGAGATGTCACATTGAAAAATAAATATTGCCTAATAAAAATTGAACTTCCCGTGTGTACATAATTTGTTAGAAGAAGCTTTGAAAACTTTATCTAAATCTATTTTACTACTCGTAAACAACAAAAAGATAAGCACTTACCTGATAATGTCACTTACGTTGCAGTGGCTCCCTAACTTACTAGATTTATATAAATACACAATACCTACAAGGTTTGAAAGAAAAACATCTTTTCAGTAGGTTTTGGTTACGTCTTTAGTTTTTAATCTTTCTGTTTTTCAATTTTCGACTTCGTCACTGGAAGGTAGATCACACTATTTCACAAAATTACCGAAGTTAATTCAACTTAACCGGGTTGTAAAGGATTGCATATAATCGGAACTTGATTCGATCTAGATGAAAAAAAAAGTAAACTAAGCGCATGAGAATGAAACGTGTTAAAATTTATAATTCAGTATTTTTACTTTATCGATTTAATCTTTTAGTGTAAGTAATTGACATGAAAAGTAACTTTTTGAGACAGTTGTAAAAAAATATTGAAAGAGTACAGGAATTTATGTAAGACGTGAATAGCAATCGTAGAAAAAATACGAGTATACAACTTATACAAAATCGTCATTTCTCACTTGTATGAACTGTGATGTTCACCCTTAGTTCGCACTGCAGATGTTCACACTAGCGAGATTAGTACACAGTTTGAAGCTGTTTGTTCAATTTGAGATGTTGTTATTTGTAATCTTATAAATACAGTATTAATTTTTTAAATATCTAAAATATACACACAATAAACCTGTTATTAATAAAGTCCGTAACTGTAATGATTATGTTTGATACGATCCGCATAGTTATGTATGTCATTTTTATTATGCTTTTAATTCTACATTTTTAGATTAGATTTTTTATATCAAATTTAATTCATTATTGAATCCTCCCCAAGTATCTAGATAAAAAGAATTACTATAAAAAAAATCAACGTGCCGATGTTGACTTCTGTCACAAAATCTTAATTTCTTAACAAAATGTAGGATTGTAGCACATGAAAAAATCATTTAACGTATGCGATTTTTTTTTTAATTTCATTTTAAAATTGTTTATATAAAAGATGTTTTAATTTTGGAATGCAGTTTATCACAATTCATTCGTATTTTAAAGCATCACATCTATAACCAGCAGCAGCTAATAAAAATTGATAATTTTTATGGAATTATTATCCAGTCATACACACGTGTCAAATCCATCTATACCACATTCGATATTTCCCCCAATACCAGAGGAGAGATAACACATTGATATTATCGCACTGCACATTATTTATTTTATAACAACAAAAATATTGACTGGGTATCTTAGAGTTCACAGAAAGTCACCAGTTATGTTATGTCTTTGATAACAACAGCGATCAACAGCGGAAAATTGAATAATTATAATCCTAAAATTCACTTGAGAGCAAAACGTGGAAGCAACGACACTACGTAGCCGGAACATTAAAATCTGCTATTTTTGAATATTCCTTTGTTTTAAAATTTAAGAATTAATTATTTTGTTTTGTAAACATGCTCACAAGAATAAAATAAGCAAGTTATTTGGATCCGATTGAAGGACAAGGCTCATTTTTAGATAAATCTAAAAACTTCGTAGTTCCCAAAGTGTTAAATTAGTACTAAAATTTTCATTGTTGCTACGCTTAATAAAAATATAAAACCAACTTCTTTTTTTAGAGTGAATGGGTGACAAATTTCTATAGGCAAAACGCTTACTTGGAATATGACGCTTTGGCCCGCCTTGGCATTTCTGACTACAAATCTTATATAAAAAAACAATTTTCCAATGAAGAAATTACTTTTCTCAATTCATGCGCTGCTTCCAAACGGATTTTAGAAAGAGCCGAAGCAGACATAGAAGAGTGCATTGCAAGCAAATCGTATCTCGATCTTCAATCAAACCTCCCATCAGTTTTTAATGAGAACGACATCCAACTCATCCTTGAGTCGATCTTAATCAAACAAAAACAACAACAAACAATCGTGATAGAAAATTACATTATCAGTAAAGCATTTATCGAAAATTTGTCGAAAAATTTCGATGAACTGGTAAAGGAGAAAGCTAAATCCGTCGTAGAATCTGGCAAATATCAACAATATCAAACCGAATTGCAAGTTTCTTCGACCAAGCCGCAAAAATTCGAAGATGTCGAGGAAAAAATCGACAAGCGTGAAGAAAGGAGGAAGAAAGCTGCAGGAGGGAAGAGCGGGGGAGGGACGCAAGGTCGCGAAACCAAAACCAAGTCAACCAAGAAGCCCGCACGTGCGAAACACGTGGAAGTAGAAGTCGAGTTTGTGGAGAAAAAACAGTTGGAAATTATCACCAGTGAGGATATTTCAGAAGCAGTTCAAAGCGAATTAGAAGATGATGGCTTGGACGAACTGACTCTGCCTCTGATGCAGTATCTATTGCCTCAACTTAATGAAAAGGGATTAGAACTAGCTAATGAAATATACGCTGTCACTGTAGCTGATCGTACGGCTAACCGAAGACAAACTCATAACGAGTTGCAAAACAAACTGAATGCTCTAATTGGTGATGTTCGTTTGTTCGATAAGGGACTCAAGTTGTTGCCAGAAGACTTGCAACCTCAATTACAGAAGTATTTGTTGAAAACATTGTGCACTGATGTCGTTAATGAAATTCTCAACTATGTGGCAGCTGAGCAGAATTTAAGCACCCAATCTGAGAATTTTAATAACGATCAGAGATTGAAATTTGCCAACGATTTGCCACCAGATTTCAAAAAACCACTTGTCCCTCTAATAAAATCTCTAACTGGACAAAGTATCGAAGATTTTATGGTGACGGTGGAAGAAGGATTGGCCGCGTGTAGTATGATTATCAAGAAAATTGATAAAAAGAAAGACAGAACGATTGTTTTGAACCACAAACATGTCCTTTTGGAGCAGCTAAATAAATGTGATGATCTCGCTTTAGTTTTGCACCTGGCTACACTAGTCATTTTTACTACTGTCACGCAATGTATGCTTCACGCTAGTGGGCGACATGTTGCCGCCATTTTGAATTTTCTGAAGCAGTATCTTAGTGAAGAGCAAATTACGGAATTGACGTCATATCATGGTATGTGTTTGTAGTTGTTGATGGTCTTAGCTAATTTTCTTATTACAGATTTTGTTACTTTAATGTTGAGTGGAGGGACCGAAGCCGAGAACGCAAAAGAGAAATTGAAAGAAAAAATTCAGGTTGTTAAGAATATCGCAAACGATTTTAAGAAACCGGGTACGGAGAAGTGTTAACTATAATTTGCTGTAGGTTTTTGTTTTGTATATCTTATACTATATTTTTTTGATTGCATGGTCCTGGAGAATTTATGTAAAAATGTACATAAGTATAAATGTTGATCATTATAATGTAATATAATTGTACCTAATAAATATCTATTTTAAGTTCGCTAGTGATTTCTCGGTAAGAAAACAAAAAAATTCTCATTGGGATTCAGAACGAGATGCTTTTATCAGTATTTTTATCAACACGAAATACCAACTAAGTAGTGTGGGGTTGATGAACTTTACTTTTGCAGTTAGTCGTTGGTAACAGACTAGGCAATGTCGGTATAAGTCAATTTTTGCAACTCCGTAATGGCGTGATTATGGAAGACTTTAATTGTACAACAACGGTCAACGGTCATGACCGCAAAGTGAGTCGTAAAAATTTAATGAACCATTAAAAAAATTTTCCTGTGCAAAACATAATGGCACTGTATGCAACACGAATTATCCATTAAATGTCGTCTTTTTTTTACGTAGCAAAGGTAACATTAATTTAAGAAATTCTAGTATTGGTATACACTTTAAAATTTAAACCATTTTCATAAAACCAGGAACTTGAAATTATGTCAAGGTAAATTAAATAATGTAGAGATAATTTCATATTTCAAAAGCTCTCAAAATTATTTTGATAGCTAAATAAATTTATAAAAAATAAATTTATTGCATATAAGGTAAGAGTTCATAAATCACAGCACAAAAAACATGGTAGATTATGAATACAAACACAAAAAGCAAAGCGATACTTTATGACGAACTTTCCTTTTTTTTGGCTTCAAATTTAAAAAGGTAATTGAATGTAATTGCATGGTATTAACCGGTATTAATCATTACAGTTGAATTAACTAATTGTGTTGGTAACTTAAAATTACCCCTAGTAACTCTGTCACTCTCTTAAGTAAAAACAGAATTTTACGCAAGCGCCAAGAAAATTCAAAATTTAAATATGCATCACAAAAAAGAAAAGAGTTCTCGTTTCAAGACCTGGGCAGTGAGTATAGATGTTAAATACATAGTCACTGACCTGGGTTATTAAAAGTTTTCTAACCGCAGATTTTTAAGTAAGGTGCCACGTTTACAGATATATATGTCACAAAACCAACAAAAGCAACTTAACCTAAGTTGTTTTCGTTTTTCACTCAAATTTCTTAGCCACGTTGTCGCGTATGTTATTCCGAGAAATTGCGACGTTGCTAGACTTAAGAAAAACGTAAAATTATTAAAATTAAATGTGTAACTGTACCCGTTTCACTCTTCGTTTCAGGTACTTTTGGTATAAATTGCTGCATATACAATAAGTATACATAAGCAGATAGGCTTTGCCATTTCTATTGAAACACCACTTGTTGATCGTAAATCTGGCGACATTCGCATTCAGACAGTTTTCTAAGTAAAAACCGTTCTCAATCAATCGAAAACTGTTACCAATTGCTCAACAGGTGGTGTTTAAAAAGAAATGGCAAATACAATAGATAAACATTACTGTCCATTTCAGAGGCGTCTATAAAATTGTTAAGCTGGAAATAATTTCCTGCAATATACGAAACAATGATCATCAAGGGATTAAGTAATGTTAATAAATCAATAAAAGTCAATAAAAATTATAAAATTTTTGGCACACATATTACACTTGCAAGATGAGTAATAAGTAAAAAAAACATTATTTTGAAAACACGACTAACTGACGGCATATCTGAATTGTTTCTCGAATAAAACAGTAACATTGTACCCTTATTCAGACAAAACTGTCAAAAAAGAGTTTAAATTTAAAAAAATACTTATTTTATCATAGTCACCATTTTAACATTGTAGAGTTCTTAAAATTATAAAACGTAGTGATTCGATATTTATTTATCTTAAATTTCGTAGTCACTTATCGTTATTATTTCTGTGGGGTTACTATACTCAGAACTCTACATCGTTATTAACGCTGTGAACAGGAAGTACAATAATACACTTAGTACTTTAGATTTCAATTAAATAGTAAATTTAATAATGCCATAAGTGACCACTTGATCATTCAGTGTATTAAGATAGGTTAGGGAACAGGGAACATTTTCGTTATATATTTCTCCTATCGTAAGAACTGCGGAAATAAACTGAAACTATGGTATGTATTTCCTTTTTATCATTTTATGATAACCAATAATGCATATGCCGAGATAAACAAAAATGAAACTGACACAACATACCAAATTAGATCGCAATTTGTAACTGGATGTATGAAGTAATCTTCATTTTCCGGTAAATGAATTATTTTACAAGTGAAATAAATATTCCGTGTTTATAAAAAAAATGTATAAGACTATAGGATATAACCCACTTAAGTATCGTACACGCTACCGGCTCTAGTCTATGTATACAGGTGGTCGAAAATTTCGGAAAAGCTAGATGGTACCTACGTAGCTAAGAAGACTCCGAAGAACCCGAAAAAATGGTTAAAAAGATCCCTGCAACAACCTTTTGAAAATATTAAATTTCATATTTGAAAAATCAATAACTTCGTAAATCTGATTTATTTTAAGAAACTGCATGTGTAATAGACAGTTAAATAATTATTATTTTATATAATTAATAAACAATATAAATTTGCTAGAATTCGATCCACGTCATTTTTTACTGTTAACACATGCCATTTTTGATCATTTTTATCGGAATTTTAGATTGTCAATTAAATTCATATTTAAAACCACGACTCAAAACGTATCAGAATTACGAAGTTGAAGAATAACTTTGAAGTTAGATTTTTTCAAAAATTTGGTTCAGGGATTTTTTTCGTGGTCTCCAGAACCTCCTTAACAATCACCATCGAGCTTATCCGACATTTTTAGATCATTACTGTACCTTTTTACCTTTTGTAATGCGACGTTACAAGGCACTAAAAAAAATTTCTCAAATATCATCATGTTGTGGAGCACATGTTTGTGGTGTTTTTCATATTGTCATTTAACATTTATCATCTTTGAACTTATTTGAATGATAATGATAACTAAAGAGGTAAACAGTTTTTTAGAAAACATGATAAATAAACTTTTCGTTTAATAGATACCGAGGATAATTAATGTTTATGATTTTTTCCGTCTGGTTGGCGACGTATTTCAAATTTTATGATGGCATACTTGATGTCAAATTCACATTTTGGCTACCGATTCACAGTAGCTGCCACTTTCTCATTTCAAAATTAGCAAGTGCGTACTGACATACTAATAACATTGCTGCCAATAATTCTGAATTACCAACCCAAAAATTTGCTTGTCATTAGCCATTTGGAATTTTCGATTTTCGTTTTTGTTTTTAGAAATACCTGACCTGACTTGACCTATCTTATTGTACGACATGAAAATAGAACGAAAATGCAAAAATCTTCATTCAAGATATGTACCTTGTGACATTGTTATACAGAGACAGAAACTGGAAAGATTCGTCAAAAAAATTACAGTTTTGGAAATGTACTTCATTTTTTCTCCATTTTTAAATACCGGGTGACTATTATAATGATTACAGGAAATATTTGGGTTGGCAATTCTGAATTATTGGCAGCACGGTTAACATGTAAAAGACGATTGAGAACATGACAGCTATTTACTTGGTGCCCTAAATTTCAATTTGACAGTCAGGTATGCCATCATTAAATTTTAAACATGTTGTTAACCCGACAAAAAAAATCACAAACATTTTCATCATACGGTAGGTATGTCATGCGATATTTTTTTATATGGATCTAATTTACTTGTTTTTTTTCACTATCAGTAATGATGAATATATTAATAGACGATGCAAATAATATCCACGTGTGAGTCACTCCAGTTTATCAATTATATAGAACAGGAAACAAAGAGTGGTTCAAGTACTCGTCCTGACGATGCGATGTGTTATTGAAGTTTTGTTGACGTTGAGTGATCTGTCAGATAATGATAACAAAACAAACAGCGTCCCTTTTTAAACAATTATATAATTTCATATTGCTTATCAAACGAAATATTTAAAAATAAAGCACATAAATCACTGTTGAAAATACTTTTATTAACAATTTTGTACAGTCCTTCAATAAAATATATTCTCGCTTTGATATGTCACAGTAACATAACGAAGCCATCCTATAATTCAGACATGGCAAAATATTTTTTTGTACATTGGTGTCCACCTCTATAAATTCAACAACAGATTCAATATCCGATTATTGCGACCGTATAAAATTACAAAATAAATGCAACAATATTTCAGTAAAATTAAAATTAAAAAATTAAATTAAATAAAACGATATTGCCAGCAGAATAAAAGAAAGCAAAATCAACTAATACTTAAAAAAAAGTTGAGAGTCATGTTCATACGGGACCATCTTCGTCGCGGCCGTCCATGGGCTCTGCAAACAACAAATAACGTATTAGGTATACTTTTATCTATTCTGCTTGCGGTATCGTCAAACAGGAACAATAATATAGATTCGATTGAACACAAAGCATAATACCGCTGTAACGTAATATAATACGAGCCCCCTATTTCCATCCTTGTCTTTATTCTCCCCTCTGTTTCATTGTATAGGGTAAGCAAACGCGTGCCATGTGGCGCAATACCCTATCTATCCTCGACATGATTTATACGCAGTTACGAGATGATTAATTGAAGTGCGGCATCGTATTTTATCAAGACAATTGACTAATAATTGTCAGTGTTACTGCGGGACAGGAGTAGTAAAATAGTAAATGGATGTCTAGTCACAGGTTCGCCAGAGCAATTGCTCCAATAATTGCTTCAATTGGTAGCCACAACTAGACATCATGCTCTATTACTACCTAATGTACGTCTTTGGAACACAGTTAATTAAACGGATTAGATTAATTAGAAGCACAGCCGACCTCTACTTATAAATGATTGGAGTTTTAATTACTTAACCAAGATTAAGGAGCAGGTTCAATGAGACGATAGCTTTATTGTAAAGATGAACTTTTAACGGCCAAACAAAAAAAAAACACGTGGTATATACAATATTTTAATTTTTGCACTGATAAAGGTATCGATTTTTGTTTCGAAATAAAGCCGTTAAATTTAAATGTTATGTACAGTGAGATTACCTTATCACAGATTGAATGGTGTATTAGTTTATGGCCCAAGTGGCCTTGTTAAAGTAAAAAAAATATATATATTTAAAAGTGCTAGTTGGATGTGAACAAGAAATTGTATTTAAAACAAAAAATATCATTATTACAGTCTATATAGTGTACAAAGGCTCCATTATCACAGTCTAGTTTGAAAAAATAGATTATGTTTGACATCTATCTAATCTATTTTTTTTTTTCAAAAAGTATAAGAAAAGTTACTACTGTCTTATCACAATCCCAAATTTTTAAACTACACTTCACTTTGTATGGTAAATTTAGAATATTGCAATAAAAAACATGATCGAAAACAGCCATGGATTTTTGAAAGTTTAAGAGTCAAATCTAAAATCTGATTTGATTTTGACGTAATTTGCTAGGCCTGAATGAGGAATTCTTTTTCATTTTCTCTTTCTATTTTAAATTCAGTTTAAAACTCTGATTCGGTTCTTCACTTCTCGCTAAACCGACTTGTAAATGACATTTTTGATAAATGTTTCTAAAAAAAGACATAGTATATAAAATATATATATATATATATATATACCTACATTAAGTAATAGTTTTTATCAACACGAAATTCTTTTTTATATATGTATATGTACACTGTTCCCCATCCATGAGGAAAACGTTAATATTATTACAAAACAATAATAAGACAATTTCAGAACTGATATCATCAATAATAATAACATAGAATCTCCTGCAATATTTTTTGGATATTCTATATTACGGCTAGAATACTAACTGAGAAAGATGAAAGTTATTCTAAAATATTCGAGAAGACTTTGATAAACCTTTTTGAATATTATCAATAGAAATATTTTTATGCACAGTGTAATCAGAGTTGGTTCGTTAGCCACAAAAACTAAGAATAGGTTTTGTTTACAGATTATTGTTTGTAAAAATAATGAAACATAATACGTATTTTCCGCCGGCCTTAACGGAAGTGTGTTACACTTGTCATTTGATCTAACACTTGTGGTGAGTTAAATAAAAGAAAACACGTTAAAACGCGCAGTTAAGAATCATTATCATAATTTAACTGAGCTTGATTATGTTTAATCTATATTAAAATCTATTCTTACTTTTATACATTTTTCAGAAAAAAAAATCAAAATTATCTAGACAGGTTTTTTTCTGAGCTTATCGTTCGTAGTTCAATTTTATGTCAGTTTCGTAACTGAAACTAAACTGTTAAATAATCAAACAGTGATCAACAACATGTGACACAATTCAACTTCACAGCAGTATTTGTAACATCTGCAGTGAGATGACTGTTCCATGTCTTTCCGTAATCAACGAACGAGCTCGATTTTTTGTGGCCGCATAAGAGTTGACATTTACTTTATCAACTCGTTTATACGCTGCTTGTGGAACAAATTAAAATTCATAACTTTTGATAGTATGAAAATTAATGATGCCAGGAATATCATATTTTAACGAATTTAATAACCCGATTGGGAATTTTCCGCACAAATCACATGGCAATAAACTGCCTCCCAGCTCAGGAACACGTGGTACACAAAAACGAATCGTTTTTGCCATTCCCGTGCGTTTTTCTCGCACAGTTTTTATTAAATTATAAAATAAACATCTCCATATCAAAACAGTATTTAAAAAACACTAAAAGTAGTATAAGTAGCCACTGAGGACAAAAATATAAGTTTTATAGTAATTTTCAACGAAATACACCATTTTTAAGTATTTATAGAACAAAGTGATTTTTTAGTATAATAAAAACCAGTCAAACCGACAAACTAAAACTTTAGTTATGAGTATCCATTTTTTATCATTTTGTCTTTTTATTCATTTTACGACAAGCTTTCTTGGTAAAAGTGAATGAGTTAAAATTCATTTAGATAAATCAGAAGACTGGTATTATGGTTTTTACATTACTCTATTAGGTAAAACAATCTTATATATGTATATCTACTGGATTAACACACGAAACTGGACATATGTTGTTACTTTAGGCATAGAACATTTTGCTCAAAATAATTAGATTGTACATGGTTCCTGAAGTGGAGTCAACTCAAGATCATACAGTTATACATATATTTAAATGTTTAAAATATGAACTGATAAATAAACTAGTTATTACGGACGAACCAATTGTTACCTTATCTTCTATAAGTTATTATCCGAAACTCCTCACGTCCTTTCGAAGACATGCTGGAAAAATTGTAATCATAAGTGAAAATAACTACTGTCTGATTGACTTTCTTAATTTTCAAATAAAACGGTCTGGAAAAGTTCATAAACACCTAGTAATAAAATATTCCAACAATGTTTAATTCGTCCATGAATATAATGCTGGTTCACTTGATTTTAGTAATTTCAATATTCACTGTCCAAATGTAAGTATCGAGTGATCAATATTGATTGTAATCGAGTTGTCCTTGAAAATGTAGACGTATGTCTTTACCTTAAATGCTATGGATAATTAGGTATAGTGCCTAAAACAAAGACAATCGGACGTTGTGCAAAAATATATTGATCGAAGAGGCATCCACCCACGTCAGTGGCTGGGTAAAAAAAGCCCGTGCAGAATTGATTTTTCCAACTTGACACCAAAACTTGGAATTAATCGACTTCCAGAATAGAAAGATTTACTACCGATTTTTGCTTATAAAAATCATCGCTGAATGTCACACGATAAAGGGACGTATCTTGGAAATCTATCTTCATATTTGCCACTTTTGTGTCATTTTGTTTGATATGTCATTAACAGTCTATCAAAGACTTGAAGTCAAGGATGACCCGATTGCAATTATTTTTGATATTACAACAATTGAAAGCTAAATAAACTACTTCATATAATTTTGAAACTGATTAAAAATAAATAAGTTCAAACATGTTGATGTTGAACCGATATCAATGATATAAATTTAAAAAGTTAAATGATTTAGAGATTGGAAAATAGTACAATGTTACTAATTTTCAAATCGTAAAAACCAAATTTTGTTATAGTATTTATTAATCCTCATTACAGATGTATTGTACTTCCACGATTTTGTATGAATAATGTTCAATAGTGTCTTAGCGTTGGAGATTTTGAAACAAATTATAAATAACAAATAAGGCAATTAAAAATCAAATTATAAAAAACTGGAGCGGGGCATTTTTGTTAAAACATAATTTTATCCTATATATTAAGACAGTTGACAACAAGAAACAAATGATGAAAAATATCACCGATGGTATTTATGATACTCAAGAATCAATTTGTCCTATAAATACTTAACAAAGTGGGGTATTTCGTTGTAAAGTAGTAGAAAAGTCGAATTTGTCCTGTAAATTTGTAATATTCTTAAAAACCAAGTCTTTTGTTTCAACGCATCAACTGATCCTCAAGGGGTACATAAACTACTACTAAACAACATTATGTAAAATAAAACAGATCTAACCAACCCACTCATCACTCACTCTATTGAATATCACAAATTGTTTTTTTGCGTTATCACATTATCATAGCACCGAATACGCATAACACCGCTTGTTCGCGTCATTTTTATTGTTGTCAAGTACCACAGTCACAGAGTGCTGGCTTCTTGTTAGCAACCTACCTGCACTTTTATTGCAGTTCCCATTTTTGAGAGGATGTCGACTTGGATCATCAATTGAAGGCTTGGAGTGAACACATCGCGTGAGGAACATGGCCACAGCACCAATGGTAGGCGGAATTCCCGCCAGAAGGAGTGGAAGAGTGTAATTCCTCTCGTGCTCGTAGATAACACCAGCAACAAAAGGTCCTATCGTTAAAGGTATAGAACACGTGCCTAAAAGAAACCCTATTGCTTGAGCAGCGCCTTCTTTGCCGCATATGTCAAAAGCGATGGGTCCCAAGAGCGCTATGAAACACCCATCGAAAAGTCCCATTCCTAGGGTAATGGCAATCAGCCATCCGAAATGTTCCGTCGACGATGGCAAAAGCATCGTTAAGACACCAATACTGAGAAAGGCAACTTGTTGCAGGAGAATTCTATTGACTTTTGGTAAATCGGCAACGTAGCCGAAAATCAACCGTCCGAGTCCTGATGTGATTCCTATGCAAAGAACGGGTAGTTTACCGTCGACGGGTCCCTGGAAACTACTTTCTACGAACTTCAGCATGTAGACGTAGGGCACAAAGTAACCGAATAGTGATCCGGCGATTACTGTGGCCCATATTATGTATTTCTTGTTCTTGCAAACGGACATGTTAAATGCGTTGCTCCACTTAACTTGCTTTTTGGCGGAGGAGTGTTTAATAGGTTTGAATAAGAACGCAAACACCATGATAAAACTAGCGATTAAAGCTAATATTCGAAGAGTCCATTCGATTTTGAAGTGTTTTAAGCACGCTGCTATAACATAAGGCATGGCGATAGTGAAGACTGAACTGCCTGCAGTTACTATCCCGTTCACTATGCCTAGATATCTTTTGAAATAATGACCTAAAACTGCCAGAGATGGGGTGTATGCTAGAGCACCACCTAAGCCATACATGACACCGAATGTAATGTATAGAGCTATTTTATTGTCGACACAGAATGATGACAGGAACATGCCGCCTGAAGCTATGAGACCTCCTAGAAATGTTGTCCTTCGGATGCCGATGAAGTCGGTGAGAACTCCCGCTACTGCTGAGATTAGGAACGTCGAGCCCATGGCTAAGGAGCCCACGAGTGCTGAAAAAGAGAACCGGGTAAAGGAATGTGTTGAGCAAATAATTTAAAAGTTGTTTGTTTTGTAACTGTTTTAAAACTTAAACACGTACGTACTGGAGACCGTACGAAGTCTGCTGTAGACATTTGTGCAAAGTCTCATTACCGTAGGTGTTCCATAATTTCGGACTTGTCAAATTTTCGGATTTTGATTTTGTGTTATTTCACATACATACGTGACTAAAAATGTCAAAAATAACCAAACAATAAAATTGATAAATTCGTTTATTTTATTTTTACTAATAGGCAACAATTAAGTATATCCTTATAGTTACGCAGGAACAATGTAGCAAATTTGGGACGAGAATTTCAAAAAGTTGGTCAAATGTTATTCGATAAACTTTCTTCGCCCCTGAGACACAGTCAAACTAATTCCATTTTTTGGATAAAAAAATAGACAATACCAGTCACAGTGTTGGAAAAAAGTGGCCCATGGGAGAAATGAACCCGCGGCCGGTAGTTTTGGAGATTATCTTTTTAATAAAAAACGTCATAGATGACAGCACATGAAACAGTGGCGGCTCCTCGGGGTGGGCAGGGTGGGCAATGCCCACCCTATTTGATTGTTTATGATACGAAGTAAAATATTGTTTTTTTTTTCTTTTTTAAAATATATTATATGTATACACAAATAATTATCGTCGTAAACATCATTTAAGCCAACGGATTTTCTTCATTACATCCCGCAGTTTCCGCAACTGAGAAATTGCAGTTGTAAAAAAGTGCGTCATATCTCGGCGTTATACGGTTCATGTGAGGGTGGGCTAGTCCACCCTGGTCCACCCTCTTGATTGTAAGCAACGACATACGTTCGGTTTTCTATGTACGTAATTGAGAGTAAAGAATTCGAAACGCGCGTCTTTGCATATCCGTGTTTTCTTGCTTCAAGCGGGGCAGGACGCCCTGGCCTCAACGTATATCTCAAACGCTGCAGAATCGGATCTCTCGTTATTCGATTCAAGGATTCAATAAATTAATTTTGAATTTTTTACTTCTTCTGTATTGTAAAAGTATAGAGGTAATTATTTTTATTACTCTATTGAAATATGGGTAAGGTAGTAAGGAAAATCATATTGTGCGAAAATTCTTGAATACTATTGATACAGAAAAGAGCAACACCATAATAATTAATAAATACTTTTTCATATCAAATGAAAATTTGTAATAACCATATTCTTGTATTATGACACCGTGTAAACTTTATAATGAAGTATACATTTAAAAATCCCAATAATCAATGATGAGAATAAGTAATACATTTATTATTGCAGTACGTATCTGACATGTGTATTTTTTATTATTACATATGCATTTTTGTTTCATAAATATAACTGTAGCAGAGTCAACAAAAGTTAAATATACGCTTAATTTATTATTTAATTCAGACTGTCCGCACAGGTTTGTTACGCGTTCGCTCTAGCATGGGTGGGCAAATCCACCCTGAAAATCGGGAGCACTCGGCATGGTTCGTCCTCGTCGGAGACACGACTCAATTCAATTCAGTCAGATCAGAAACTGCATGGTGGATAGTGTATTTAATTATAAAATGTAGCTTATTCAAATTACCAAATAGTTAGGCGAGTACCAAAGTAGGTACTTTCTAGCAATTTTTTTTAATGGCAAATCCTACTGTAAGCTGTGCAAATAATATTAGAGAGGTGGTAAAGAAGGCATTAAAGACATTGAGTTTTTGTTTTTAATAAATAAATTCAGTAGTATGGAACTTGATATTTATGAATTATTTGTTTATAAATTAAGATCATGTCCCGAAATGAAACAATTGGTCATCACAAACTCTCGTGGCAGTAATAAAGGCTTTAATCAAAGTTCGGACAATAAATATTACCTACCTATTGGTTGATCGGTAGTGAAACAACAAACAAATCTGTTGGAATTATCTGCTATTTAACATAAAATTAAATTACGAACACTTTAGAATTCCACAAGAAGAGCGATATAAAATATAATGCTACTGCCTTACAAAAACATGACCAATCTGAATAAACGAAAATTATTTGGAAAACGAAGTGAAACTATAGAAAATTCTCTTAAATTCGGCGTTTATTCGATATGATAATTTTCTTGGCTACACAAAAACATACATTTCGAGGACAAGATTAATCGCAAATTTCTCTTAAAGTAAATTCGATGATAAATTTAAAAAGTTTTTTGGAGGAGTCTTTGGTAATTAGTGGTTTTCAGAACGATTATTTTGGAATTATTTTTATTTTATTTGTTATTGTTAACTTTGTTAGTATTTTGAGAATTTATTTTTTGTTTCATTTGGCATTTTTTATTTTGCTTTTACAATAATTTTCCAAATTGCTGCTTTTTCTAAGTGTAGCTTATCGCAAAGCTTTAAAATTTAATGTTTTCTCGTCATGTTATTTCAAAATCTTTGCATGTTGGGATTATTATTTGAGTTTATAGTTCTATAAACACCTAACAAATCTATTTATGTGCTGAACCTTTTTTTTGTTCCTCTTTCCTCTTCTAGCAAGAGTCTTCGACGTTCTCGTTGGTTCTTGCTGACCGACATTGTAAGTAACATTTATAAAATAATATATATGTAATATACATAAAATATTTGTTATATTATATTGATTGACATGCTGCACCAAAACAAAAACACGTTCTCACAAAAATGATTAATTATATATATGTATATATATTTTTTTTCATACATGTTATAACCTATCTACAATGCTTTGCCCACCCATCAAAAATCACCATGAGCCGCCACTGACATGAAAGTAAGCATTTGCTGGATGGATTCTATTACAATACTTCCTTAACGTACGCTCGGGAAGTAAAAATTAGTTTCCACTTCAAGTTGAAAAAGTTACAATGTAAGCGAGGAGGTTGGAATAACAACGGAGGGAGTATGTTGTATGCTTCCAATGGTAGGGTTGTGGAACAAAATCAAACACCACAAATACCGTTTACGATGAGTCTGCAGGCTAGAAAACCCCATCATTTTACTAGTACTTTATAGGTGCACATGCTAGTTATTTGGCTCCCCCACGTACTGTGTGTCTTTACATGCTGTGTGTGTTTTTTTAATAAACTCAACCTAGTGAGCTGCAAACTTCGTAAATTTTGGAATAGAAGTAAACAATCTGGGAGTAACGCTTAGTTTCATAAGTTTCAGTTCGTTTCATCCCCATGACGCATGACAAACCAAATTGCCCCGCCACTGCTTAGCCATACTTTCGAACCTAAGGGCGTGGTTAACACCCTTATTAGTGTATAGTCGTAACCGCTGTTCACAGTATTATCGCTCTGTTCTTATTCCGCCCTCCTCGAATGTAGATAATCTAGTAGGTACAACATACCTGTACTGAAGACCAACAAACTTTATTTTTCCGTAGTTAAATTTAAGTAAAATATAAGTATATGGTTATCATTAGAAAAATAATAATAAAACTTTATAATTTTTCGAAAAAGCAGTATTTGTTCGATTGCACTTCAGGGGCCCGGGAATTTCTGTAAATAACCTTAAACGTTTTTTTTATGTGCATGCTTTGCCTGCTTGCACCGGTTACACTTATTAAAGTAAGTGACAGTTAATTTATCGTGGAAATAATTACAACAATTATTATTTCTATATACCTAAGCGTAGTTTTAAATTTACCGAAAGAGGTGCTAGCGTCATGGTCTATAATGAAACTATCACTTCATTTATGCCATTGAGGCTTCTGTGTATTCAGCTGTCACTTTTCTGGTTATATGCTTTCCGGAATTAAAGGAAACTGGATTAAGTAATTTGTGAAGTCGCAGAGAGGAGATTCATATAGTATATTATAAGCTATACATTGACGTGGTTTTAGCAACAATTTAATGTGCTAAAAATTTAGGGTAACACCACAGTGTCACTTATACGTCGAGTGAATATCCACATTATATAATCTGTTACTTGTTTCACTCTGTTTTAACGCTTAAATGCAGTGGCTAAAGCTTAAAAATTTTGACGAATCAAGTGTAGGCTATTAGTGCGAATCCACTTTGTCGTTTCTTTTTCCCTAATCGAGCTCATTTTAAATTCATTAATAATATATTTGTTGGAACATTTTTTGCAACTATTCTAAGTAATGGATCTCAAGATTTCCTTAATACATTAGTGCACATTAGTGCACATAGGTAGGTAAGTGGTCACAAAAAAGGAAAAAACAGTTTGCAATTTAAAATTATTGAAGTAGTATTTTGTAGCTTTATGAGATACCAGAGACTTGAATTCATGAACCTGAAACCGTGTCGGTAATTATTATTAAAGAAATCAACTTTAGAACGAAAAAAATCATTAAAAGTAGCAGGTTATGACACAGTAAATAATTAATAATCGTAACTCATCACACGGTAAATGTTCTTCACACTCTATAATTGTGACGCATATTACCATAGTACCAAGTCGACCTTACAAAGAAATATCAATATTACTTCGAATCGATACTGCCAGAGCAACGACACGAAAAATTGGTGCCGCTGCTTAATAGGGGAAAAACTCGTAAGTTTTCTTGTGATATATCATATTTCTGAAGTGCGGTGCTTCCGGGTTGTTAATATGTAACTCTATATTTTTGCCGTATTTGTAAAAAAATGCAGTTTCAGCACTTTCGAATGTAAAAGGATACTTCGTTGTGGTCTGGGTCGTTTAGATAAAATGTTATCAACTTATCACTAACCAACAACTGCTTCTGTTTCCAGGCTGAGAAGAGAAGACACAGGTCAGATTGATATCTCGTTAATGGTTTAAAAATTAATTGTATAAAAGTTGACCCATAATCCCGATGTCTTATGATTTATAGTTCAGTTAGTTCAGCGACGAAATTAGTTATTGAACTTTAAACAGTTAGTTTAAATTTCGCATTGCACGCAGCAGCGTAACGCAGATGTGTGTTTTTTTTTTTTTTTAAGACATTATTACAAAAGAAAATTATTTTTGGTTATTGAAATATAGTGGTAGT